GATTGCAGAAAAGAGGTCATTCCCCCCCATCCTCTATATAATTTTTGTCCGAAGAACAGACTTTACGTCAGCAAGTATGTGTACGTTGATGCCGAATTCAAATTGATCCAACGGATATCTGACTCGCTTCCCAATCCTTGGCTCGCACCAAACCCTCCCATTTTTTTGAAATTGGACCAAACTCCCATTGCTGGTAGCATTCTCCGGATCAATGCTGTTGTTGTTGAGGTAAGAGAATGGTCGACAATGAGCATAGCTAGATCGTGTTGTTACTATTATCTGTTGCTTGCTACTACTATTGTTATCTAACAGCGTCTTCATTATCCGATCCAACGTCGTCCTTCTCTCCTTCCACTACGACCGACGCTCCTGAAGTCCACTAACTACCGACGCTCAATCCACTACAGACGCTCAGTCGTACTCGACAAGGTAAGAAGTCATGCTGCTGTTGTGTTGTTGTTGTTGTGTTGTTGTAATCCACACTAGGCGACAATGGCATGCTACTAATCACTAATCCTACGGCCGTCCTCAACTTCTGTAGACGTGCACCGATCGAACGCTCGTTCTTCTATCCTCACTACCGACGCCTCTTCCTCTACCGACTGACGCTCCTTGATACAACAACAACACTGCTACAAAACAGAACTTGCTGGGCTATTTGTCTTGATCAGCGACTACAGGGAGGGCAAGACTCTTGAACAACAACAACCATCTACTACTCTACTCCTCACGGAACGTCCTCCTACCGAACTCGACCATGAGGATCGCAACTACTTCTCCTTCTCAAGTGGCTGCAAGTGTCAACAGATACCCATTAATGAGCTGAGGGTACAAGGATGGATTCACTGCAAGTATGTCATTTGTGGGTACAACAGTGATGAGGAGGATAAACTTCTGTTTGGCCACAACAGCATGGAAGTGACGTTCTTGAGGAGTTGATATTGCAAGGAGCATGCAAGCCACTTCCTCCTGCCATGACCGACATCATGGATAATGTTAGCTTCAGGCCTTCAGACAAGTCCAAAATGGTACAGAGCTGTCATCTCCACCTCTCTGAATGCTGGAGTCGCCGTCGCAACATCCTGTGAAAGGAAGACATCTTCATTGAGTGCATCTATTGGTTAGTGAGGGAAAGGATCAGTGAGAGCTATGAGTTGTCCTCCCTCGAAGGACAGAGTGTGATGGATGCTTGGCATTATTATTGTTGCCACTGGTATGACTACAAGAAGAACATTTACAAGAAGAATATTTCCTTCCAGGAATTGGCTGAGATGAGTGAGACTATGGTTGTTGATTTCATTGGCATTGACTCAGATGAAGAGTGAGACTATGGTTGATGATTTCATTGGCAAAGTTACTGAATTGAAATGTAAGTTAATATCTAGATTACAATGACGCAACAATGCTACCCATTCTGCTGACCATATCAAATGTATTGAGACGGCAATAGCGTCATGTGGTGTCTTCCTCTCCTGTTGGTCAACCACTGGCAGTATCTCTGACAACAGCCATTCGTTGGAGTGACTGGAAAGGAGCTGGCAGAATTGGTTGGAATTGCACGCATTAGCATGCAGTTGCATCATTGAATTCGGTGTTGTTGCTGAATATAGAACAGTTACCAATGTAAATTTCTTGTTGTGCTACAGGAGGACTCTTGTGGAGTGGATTGGTGGGGAGGTTGAGCTGTGAACCGTTGTGGTTGTGGTGTGGAATGTTGTGGTTGGTTGTGGAACCGGTTGTGTTGTGAAGCTTCAACTGGACTGGTGCACAATCTACACAAGCAACAATCATTTGGTGAGTACTTCTGCCTGTGAGGTTTGAATCAAACAATGTACTCTGAAAAGAATCTTTCTCCATTATCCTCTGGCAGTTGTTCTGCATTTGGAAATGTGCATCCAGACCAAAGCCTCTGCCATGTCATTGAGGTAAGCAACTCTGAATGGTTCCAGTAAGGAACAACCTTCTCCATCCAGCTGGAATTGACTTCTTTCTGCATCGCTGATTCTTGACAGGAGGCTCTCTTGTGTCTAATCTTGAGGTTGTATCTAGCAGTGCCAGCAAGGTTGTTGCATCAGCAAGGCTCTCCTCATTCCACCATTGCCAAAAGTGGCAAACTTGTCATGGAAAAGCCTATAACTTGACTCTCCTCTCCTTGAAGTACTCTGGAAGATGTGCTTGAGTTTTGAGAAGGTTGGATTGTTCCATACACTTGCTCCATTGGTAGTGGATCAGCAAGTGAATGGCTTTCTCAATTCAGTTGTCTACTGCTGGTTTGTTGTCTGGAGTGAATAAGGTAAATGTTCTTGACTGGATCACAGTCTTCCTCTGGCCAGGTTGGCTGCCCTCACTGGCTGTCACATTGATACCTGCAGAACCACTGTTGAACTTCATGTCTCATTGTTCTCTGTTTTCTCATCCTTCTTCCTTAGGTATTGGAGTATCTGTCACTGGAAGACCTTGGTTGATTGCATGGTCTGAGATCTCCACCATGGAATAGTGTTTGCCATCAGCTGATAGTAGACCATGTTTCAGAGCATAGAGAACCTTCTCATAGTCCTCAGGAAATGTACTCATAGAGGCAATCCCAAGAGCATTCAAAGCTTCGAAGTAGTCAATGTGACCCTTCCTCAAAGTTACAGAATCCTTTTCTCATAATGGAACAGGCCAAGTCTTCCCTCATATGCTGGAAAGAGCTAGTCTCCCAATGAGTCTCCTTGTGTGGGCAGTGTCGCTGTACATGTCAGCTGGATTGAAGTGTCTCCTCCTATGCATAGCTGCATGCTGCATGGGATGAAGTGGATGGTCTTGGTGGTTAGGAACAAACAGCACTGCCTATCTCACCAGTTCGTGGCAGCATCCCAAGCAACGACTGCTCCAACCTCTCTCTTCATAATTCTTGTGCGCTGGAAAGTGTGGTCTTGCAGAAGATACCCTTGTTTCAACTGACACTTTGAATCTCTCTAGTTGTGCCTCGTGTTGTCGCTGATCCTCCAAGGGATTCCTGTTGGACGCAGCGGCCTTATCGAACAAGTCACGGATTGTGTCACCAAGAGGAGGGTATTGCTTGATTTAAGTCCCATCCTTTGGAAGGAATGGTGGAGGATCCTTCTCACTCCTTGCCAGAAGAAGAAGTACGACAGCATGTCTGAAACTCTCTGTGATCATTGTAGATGAAGCCCGACTGCAGTGATTCAACCATTCCAATAGTAACAATTAGAAGCGAACACCTCAGTTGCTGTTCTCTCTAGGTGATAGTCCTTCTTAGCAAAGGCATACTTAGAGTCGAATGGATACAGCAAGGAAGCATGCTCTTGGATAGACAGCAGAACCTCTGCTTTGTTGGAATCACAATCCCTCTTGCACAGCTCAAACCATGACATTGACCATGCACCAAGATGGAGTTCCAGCAATGCCAAAGATTGGGAACAAGGTCTTGTTGTGTGTCCAGTTTGTCCTTGTATTGTTGCGTTTGCCAGAGCATCTTCCATCCGGACAAGGTACAGTGATGCCACATCGATTCCAGTCCACTAGGAAGAGTTTCTGCCCAACAATAGAGTGATAGCGGGGAGATTTGAATTGCTCATCTGTGGAGGGAACTGTCATGGTGAGTCCTTGGAAGTGTTGATTGTAAAGCTCCTTGTTCTTGGTTCTGGTGATCGACTCAGACACTTCTTCTGCCATAGCTATCATTGCAGTGTCATTGTCTGTGCTTTTCCACAAAGTGAATCCCCCGAACGAGCTGTGACTTCCGCAAAACACGCGATGCATTACCTTTCTGCTTGAGTGCGGGCTTGCTGTGTGTCAGACAAAGAATGCCTCCCATTTTCTCTTGTGGATGCCTCCCTTCCTCTCTCATTCAGATGGAAGAGGACACTGAATTGCCTGTGTCTCCTGCTTCTTTGAATTGTCTCCATGTCACCTCAAAGGTCCTGCCCTTTGTTATGGTATTCTTAATACAGAAGACAGAGTGTGATCTCTGTGGGACTCTGAGACCAAGATGTCTGGTCTTACAGATGACACAGTTTTTGAGTGGATCAAAGACTTTTGCTACCACTCCTCCCAGAGTTGTTTGGGGTCCTTCTCCTCTGGCTCTCTTGGATGATCTTTGGTTGTTGTTGCGAGTTTGGAAAATGCCTCTTCTGTGGATCGATCTGACCTGGCAGCCCATACCCTACAACGGTTCGTTGGGTGGCTGCCTGGCTCTCTGATTCGGAATCGGGAATCCAACTGATAACCCTCTCCCTTTCTTTTTCTTTTTCCCTCCCCCGCGCTGCTGCCTAACCCCCCCATAAAGTCGTATTGAGCTCTTGCGCTAGAAACAGCAGCAAACCTGACAAAGCTCCAGCCAAATTCGGAGAAACTCCAGTTTGGCCAGTGACGTGACCGGTAAGTACCCTAGTAGTAAAAGAAGTCCAACAGTTTTACTGCAAGCTCCAGCATCCGGGAACGACCTCCCAGCTCCAAATCCAGTATGCATAGCGCTTCGAAGCCGAGGAACTCTATGTTTTTGCTGTTTTGAGGCACCAACACCAACACGATCATCATACTGCCTACCGGTAGGCTAAATCACTTTGCATTGTCCTAGCTAGCTATCTCTCTAGCTAGGATCAATATTTGGGGGGTCTAAAGAAGAGGAGTAATCTACGGAAGCCGACAGAGGGCCAGGCTTTGGAAAAGAATTGATTGGTCTTAGTCTACTTGAGAGTTTCTTATTGACCTTTCGTGGGTGTCGCGAGAGGTTTCTCAAGACGTCGATTTTGACCTCATGAACCCGCAGTGATTGCGGATTAATTCTAGTCTATCCCATGCCTCGGAGACCCTTGGCACTGCGTACCCGTAGTCGGCTGCATCGCTCCCCGTCAACGAGCGCCGGTCCCGTGCCACTTCGTCTCCGTGCAGGTTAAATTATCCTGTGCCGCAGAACTTTGGGGTTTGAAACACGGGGGCCTTTGAGTGCGGTACCCTGCCAGGCCGCCTGTACCTGCGACCTTTAGGATTGATCAGGCATCCCCATTGGACGAGCGTTTTCTCTGCGTGTCGTAGTGCTGAGGCAGCTCATACTTGTATGATTCGTTTGGTCGAAACATTTCTGGCTGTAACACCTGAAGAGTGGCATTCATCAGAAGCAAAAGCGATCGGAACTCGGCTTCTTTGCCTTCGTCATCAATTGCTGCCATGAGCTTTTGAAAGCTTCGCAAGGTGCCTGTGATCACTGCACATTGTGCCTTGGCAGCAGGCCACAGCAGATTGGCGGCTTCGTGCCAATCTTTGCTTGATATGTCGTCAGGGACGGCCAATGACTGTGAAGTGACCTGTTTCAGCTGCTCGACTAACCGAAGCAAGGACGGATGCTGGACTACGATGGGAGGCTGCTGTTGAGCTGCCGTTCGGGCCACTGTGACGCGGGCCATATGAACCAAATCACGTTGGCTGTTCAGCTCGTTTTCAACTCCACAGGAGAACCCCGCCAGAAAGAAACTCAGTGAAACTGTATGAGCCACAGAGAAGTGACCGTGCTTGCAAAGAACATTCCACATATCAATCGGCTCCTTCTTGCCCGGGTTCATGTAACATGGCATGGATGCAAGTCCCATACCACGACGCCACTCTTGGATTATGTCATCCAATTGATGAGAGGCTCCGCCAAATGTGATGGAATCATTGGAATCTAATGATGTTGGCAAGCCACCAATGGCACAAACGGCGGCCATTGGTTGCCGAACAAACCAACCTTCTGGTCCGTCCCAGAATGTGACTCCCACTTGCTGCATGAGCGCCCGCAACCGAGCCTTCAACGGGACCTCAAGAATCGATTTCCACGCGCGATCCATATCAATGAAGGCTGCGCCCTGATGCTCCAATGTGGCTGGCGATCTTTCTCGACGAGAGCTGTTGTTGTTTGGGTCGGCGGTCGACACCACAGGGGTATACACGGGCGTAACAGCAGGAGCAGGATCCTCCGTTGCAAGTATCCGTTTCTGCACTTCTTCCAGTTGATCGTAGAAGCCAAAGCCTCGATCATAGTTGACATAACACGGCTCGAACAGGGGACAGACCTCTTTGTAGGTTGTCGCATCATCCGCAGTAATCAGGCCCTTTTCCTCCAATACAACCACAAGTTGATCGTACAGGCCCCTAATAGCGAAACATTCAGCAACAGACACAGCATTCTGACCCGACAATCGAGTCATGACCTTGCAGAGCTTGTCTGCATAGATTTTGACATCAGGGATCATTGGAAACCTTGCCAACAGATGCAACTGACCAATCATATAACGACCCAGGGAATTGCGTCGAATAACACCAGGCGATGCAGCGCAAGGTTGGCCATGAAATGCTGGTTTGATCCGATCTTCGAATAGTCGATCCAACGAACGCTCCACCAGATCTCTTCCGCTCAAGGATGACTCAGCCCCGATTGCAGCAGCAAACTCTTCTACCGTTTCAATGCGACTTCCCCCGGGCGAACCCGCCAGTGCCTGTTTGATCGGCTCGACAAGCTTTGACCAGCGCTGGAACTCGTCGCACCGTGATACCATAGAATCGTAGTTCTGTGATGTCCACCGGTAGTCTTCAACAAAGAACGGCATGTACTTGTCTTTGAACCTCTTCAGCGCCTCAGGTTCAGCGGTGTCGTTGCTGTTCCCTCTGAGCAGCTCCATCCATCCGGAATCGTCGCCCAGCAAACAATAGATTGCGTTGGCATGAAGAAGCCTCCGAAATTGTCGCAATGTATATTCAGTATCCGGTAGCTCTGGGAATGGATCGATCCCAGTTGCTTGGAATAGTGGCCAGATGGCACGTTTTGCGAAATCATATTGCACACCAGATCGTCTGAGCGCTTCCGCTAATAGCATGTCCGCGAAAACGTTGTCGCCTCACTTAGCATTCGAAACACGATATACACTCGTCGAAGGATTGGCGTATGACGCCCACTGAAAACCAGATCAGGGATCATGAAATGGCCAAAATCGTGGGCAAGGAATGTCAGCTCGTGTATCTCATCCTTCTTTTTCACAAAGGGGATCCCTGAGTTCAACCCAGGCAACCAGTAGTTCACTTCACGGCGAGAGATGGACGAGCGAAAGAAGACGCCATCATTCACAACAGAGTAGAAGCATGGCAGCAATCGAGAGGCAACTCCCGTGTGGAAATAGCTCGTATTCGCCACAAACTTGGCACAATCCAATCCATCCGAAAATCCTATTGATATGGTTCGTTTTCTGTCGACGTTCTTCTCATGTTGATTGACGTTTGGCAAATGGCCCCATTCTTTGCGATTCTTGTAGTGCACATGATCCGCGACGAAAGCAGAAAGGTTGGAATCTCGCGGACTGCAGGAAAAGGAGATTTGTGAGTGGCATGCTGGCATGATGATGGCGCCGCGGGGGGCTGAAACACAATTGCCTGAACTCACCTGCACTTGAAGCCGGCAAGCTTCTTTTCATGATAGGAGAGACTGGTGGCTTTCAGGACAAAGATATCATCAAAGCCGAACACCTGCTCCTTGTTGCCTCGCTTTGAGAGATCAATGAAGCCCTCAACATCATTTGAGTAGAACTTTGTTGTCATAACGCCGCCTTCTGTGTTGCCGTCCGTACTGATCTCGCCATCTCGTGCGCTCCCAGCATGACGTAGACCAATGGACGAGAATTCCTGAGCTGCGGTTGCAATGTCTTCCTTCCAGGTCCAGCAAATGAGATTGGCTTTGACCATAGCACGTTCTCCATCAACAGGATTGTCGTTAAAGTTGGCAGCCTTATCTTCCCCATATTTCAACAGCAACATCTGTTCCCACATGACCGCCTTGCACCAAAAAGTGTTGGGTTCCGTTTGCGCCAAGAGTTGCCGTGCTAGTGGTTCCAAAGTCGTGGCAACTTTTTCAATCGTCTTACCGGCCGTCCTGAAACCGTAAGGATTGACATGGGCTACGCCAATTCCATACCTGGCAAAGAACAACCGAAATTCGTTCACTTTCTGGATACTAGAGCTAATGACGAATACAATCCTTTGTCCCTTGCGGATTGGAGGCGCCAATGGCGTTGGAGTGCACTTCTTTGCCTTCTTCATGAATGCCTTGGCTTGAAACTGCTCTTTTTCCACGTTTGCGGCAGTAGGTAGCAAGTCAAGGTTGCGGTTCTTGTCTATCTTGGAAGAAACAGGTTGTGGGTGAGATACTGCTTCTGTGTTGGCGCTGTCAGTCGTAGTTGTGGGCTTTTCAGTGGGTGATGCATTTACCGCATCTCGTTGCGTGTCAGATGGTGAAAGCGGTTGGTTCTCCTCTTTGTCGTTTGGGACCAGCAGTATCACTCTCCCGCCACACACAGCAAAGTCAGGCGGAGGATCCAATACTAAACGATAAGCATCTTTGGTATATGGCGGCCATGACTCCGTTCCGGGATGCCACCCCTTTGCCGGTCGAAGACTGACGATCCGGAACACGACGGGATGATATCCTATCCGCACCCTGGCACCATTCCTGAGTTCGGGTGGTTTCGTGGCTCCCTCCTGAAAGACCAAGTACGCGTGCGCTTGTCTTCGATTGGTCCAGACAGAACAAATGTCGTGAAGTATCCACTGCGTCATGTCCTCTTGTAGGTGTTGTTCGGTTTCTCCGCCATTCTCAGTGTGTCCAAACACTTGCTGGAACGATTCGAATTGCCGATCCGCTGCAATCTGGGGCAAATGCTGGAGAAGAGGTCGACAATAAGTCGCGACTTCCTGCACTGCTTGATGGACTTGGAGCGGCATTTTGGTTTGAGTTGTCGTGGACTGCGTAGATCGATACTTTATCCATAATTTGGCCGATCGCCTACTGGACCCCATGGCTTCCTCTGTCAATCGTTGCATCCAACGAGCATCCAATGGTAAATCGGGAGATGCCAGTGCATAAAAGGCCACGTTCAAGCATGTGACCACCACGCCTTGTCGTAATCTCCCTGTTCTTATCATAATAACCAAATCCCATAGATCCTTCGGGGCCCAGTGACACTGAACAAGTTGTTTTTGTTGATGAATGTCTGAGTTTGCTTCGGTTGTTTGGAGTTTATTATTATTGACAGTCCATTTATTTCTCTTGAACAAAGCAGCACATTTCCAACCAAATTGCATCTCCATTGGTACTGCCAGAAATTGTATGTTTGTTCCATTTTGGCAGGCATACTTCATCCACTCCCAGGTTGGAAAGATTGGATCTCCCCAACCAATATCGACATGCAATTCAACTTTGGTCTCGTCTGGGAGAGTCACATCAAAGACAGAAAAGAGTCCATTGGAATGAGGCACTGGGTAATCTTTGCGCGTTCGTTCCGTCGATCGGAGGACCACAGAGCAACCATCATCTTCTTCTTGCTGCAGGGAAGAGCAACAGTCTTGCCAAAATCCTCTGGTTTGTATGCAGTCGTCACCATCGACAGGATACAGAGCAGCAAAATCCAAGTCAGCTGCAGGACGGTCAATACCCAACTCCAAGGCCCAAGTGCGAGTTAGAAAGCTTCCCTTCAAGGCCAACACTCGTCGTGCTTCAGACGTGGATGCGATGCGTCGAAGAAGCGCCTCTTGGGCTAGCAATTTGGAGTCCGTGTTATCTTCGTTAGCAGCTGCAGATGATGCGGACATGGTGTTGGTTGGCTCCTGAGTGTGACTTTGTCAACTCAATAGCCAGCTAGTGCGGCCCACAAGATGCTACCTTGACTACTCTGTTCTAGCGCCTGAGTAAAGACTAAAAATCAATGGAAGCTTTAATTCATCATTTCAAAAATTACATGGAATTTTTATGAAAGAGTCTCTGGAGCTCGAATGCACGCAGCTAACTAGCTAGACTACATGTAAAAAACAAAAAATGCCAGAATGATAGAATTTGGTAGGGATGGTTGGGTGTTTTCAGTGTCGAGTTGTGTTTGAAAAGGCGCAGGGAGTATCCACGAATGAGTTAGAGAGAAAATGCGCGTCTTGTTTAGCGCCGGGGGTGCCCGCCTCGTTTCTTCGGGACCACAAATCGCCAACTTTTTCTCTTCTATTTCGACGAAAAGCGATTTTCACCACAGAGCTTCGTCAACACAGTCAGCGTAACATCACCCATCAACCAACTAGTTAACTACATCGATCGTAGTCTACCACCTCCCAACGAGTGCTCTTGGAGTACCATTGGATTTCGCGTCTTCATCCAAAGGGAAGGCAAGGGTGTGAGAGGCAAGCACCGAAGACTCTTTTGGCATTGGCGTCTGAATTCCTGCGATAGTTTGTTTGTCCAAAAGAATATTCAGCAATGATGCGCGACAGAAGTCCACCGACTATTGTGGTCGATGAAAATCTATTTACGGGAGGGGTCACTCACGTCTCTCCTCGCAGAAGTGGTCGACCACCCACATACAATCGACGCAGTCCAAGTCGAACTCCCGTCCGAGCAAACTCCAACCGTGACCCTCCAATTACCATCAATACGAGTCGCGTCACCCCCAAAACAATCAGCAACAGCAGTCCTTTCGCTTTCACTCCTCCTAAGAGTGCCTATACATCCCAAAGTCCTTACACTTCTCCTCCCAAGCAGCCAAGTCCAGCGGCAGCACTTTCCTCGTCTTCCACCCTCCGCAACATCACGGCTGAAGCTGAAAATGTCGTCGTCTATCGTCATCAGCAACAACAACGACATTTGTCTTCCGCTGCTTCGCAATCGCCCTCCATCCTGTCGCAGGGAAGCAATGGAGAGGGTGCTGGATACTTACCCGTCGGGTCAGCGCGTCGTGACAGCTATGCGAGCGACGAAAAGTTAGTAACGCGACTCTACGGGCAAATCGAAACACAAGAAGGCGAGTTCAACCGATTGACAGCAGAGTATCGAGAAGCTCTCAGAAACCAAAAGGAAGAAGTCAAACAGAGAGAACGACTCGAAAAGGAGTTGGAAGAAGCACGAGAAGAACTCGAAATGAGCAAAAAGCGATATACCAACTTCAAAAAGCAAGAGCGGGATTTGATGCGCAAATCCGAGCTCGACCAGAAAGAACGAATGCGCGAAGAAGGCAGTCGATGGGATTATACCATGGAAGAGCTAGTCACGCTCCGACGAGACCTCAGTGCCAAGAACCAAAAATTGGTCGAATTCGAATTCATGTGTTTGAATCTACAGCAGACACTCGACAATGAAAGGAGCAAGAAACAGGTGGAATTGGTGGATGCGGAGAAACGCATTGCTCGGAGCTCCGAAACACTGCAGACCGCTCATGCCCAAGTCTCGCGGGCGGACAAGCAGTTGAAGAAGGAAAAGAAAATGAAACAAATCTTGATCAAAATCAACGAAGCGCTGCAAAAAGAAGTCAAGAGAGTTCAGGAAGAGTTGCAAAAGGCCAATAAGACGATACGGGAACAAAAAGAACAACAAAAAGAACAGCAACATCAGCAGCATCAGCAGCAACAACAACATCAAGCCGAGTTGGCATCGGCCCCATCGATGCATCAATCCAAAAGCGGCGAGTCATCCTTTGTGCGGCAAAACCACAGCAACGAGATTTTCACGAGTCAAATCATGCAGGATCTGCAAATCGAGGATGCCTTGTTCTACTTTGAAGAAGTTAAGAAAGAATACGAAGATCGACCCAAGGTGTACCGGGTCTTCCTGGAGATTATTCGAGATTACAAGAGTCGCAACCTGTCGACACCCGAGGTCATTGCTAAAATCAGTAAGCTATTTCAAGGGAATAGCAAACTCATTATTGGATTCAATCGCTTCCTTCCCAACGACTATCATATCACAGAAGAGGACGTCTCGGACATGGAGAGCTACAATGGAGATCATGTGCACGAACGATACCAAGTGCCAAGTGTCGCGAGTAAGGAACCAAAGAAAAGCAAGGAAGACGAGGAACAATCTCAAAGCAGCAACGAGAGTGAAGTTCAAGGTGTCATCGTGGTGGGTAGCAGGGTTGATGGACCAGCAGCAGACCAGGCTAAAGCTCAGCAAAATGTTGTGGTAGGTACAGTCTGGCAAAAGCCCAAAGACAAAGTAGCAGGCTGGGTGGGCGGCAAGAACATGGGCAAGAAAGTGGAACAGACCAAGACTGTTGACAGTCAGAATACAACTGTAGCAGCGGCGACAAAGGGCAGATCCAAAGGCGAAGGCAAGTCGGTCGTGGCGAGATCCAATACAAATGTATCGGGACCGCCCAAGGGAAGATCCCGAGGCGAAGACAAGTCAGCGGTGGCGAGATCCAATGCAACTGATGCACCAGCTCCAAAGGGCAAATCCAGAGGCGAAGACAAATCGGTGGCAAGATCCACCAAGAGCGGCAAGAGCGGCAAGAACAGCAAGAATAGCAAGGGCGACAAGAATGGACTCAAAGCAACAGCCAACGCCACGAGGGCCAAGGAGGAACACAACAAAAGCCCCCCAAAACGCCATCCTTCAGGCCTTGGTCCGTCACTTGTAGACTCGTCGAGTGGTAGCTCAGAATCGATCGAGGTATCCGCATCAGTAGTATCGGGTAGCAAACCCAACGCATCATCCAACAACAACGTTTTGTTGACAATCAGCACTTCATCCTCCCTTGACGAGAACGCCGCAAGACCGCCCGTGAAAAAGCTACCCGCCGACTTTCAAGACGAAGATGAGGACGCGGATGACGAGGGTGGAGACACGACGACTGTCCTTAATTCCGAGACGGACAATGCTTCCAGTACTACGCCCGTCTCCGCAGCTGGAGCCGATGTCGCTTCGCCCAGAATGGACTTGGGGGTGTTATCCTCGGTGACATCGTCCCATGTGTTTGGCGGCATTGAAAGTGTCGGAGACTCGTTTGGAGTGGGGATTCTGTCCGTGGATCAGTCCACCCTCTTCATGCCCAGCGATCGATACGATGTTGTGGAGGACTGCGAATACAATGCCATTGAACTTGTGGCCGATCCCCACGGTGGGAGCAGGGGCAAGTCAGAGGGCGGTAGCAGCAGCAAACTTGTTGCAAGCAGCCTTTCGTCGCTCGATTTTTACGGCTGGAATGTGTAACGCACGACCCAGCTGGCGGCACGGAAAGGTGTGGTTCCGTGCACCACGAGACACACAACTCATAGTATCATATTTTGATTGCAAGCCAACCTAGTATATCTGTAGCTAATGTACTCAAATAATAATAGAGAAGCTGCATGGAGTAATAGTTTCATTTGTAGTTGAATTTGGTTTCATTCCGGTGGGTTCCTGGCTCCTGCGGACTGTGTCACTCCATCAGTATACATATGTACGGTAGCTTTGCCGACATTCAGTGCAATACTGCAAGGGCCATGCATCCATGCATCAATTCGACGCGATGATCCTGATGATGGGCCTGGATTGGGTGTTTCTTTGTGTGGACTCACAGTACTGCAGGTGAACCGGTATACGGTAGTGCGGTGCTGCAGGTGGAGGGTATCGTACACTGTACCAGGAAGATTGCTGATGTGAGAGCTAGCTAGGTTTGGTTGGTCCTGCGGTTTGGATCCAGGAGATTTTTCAGGTGTTGCCCTGTGGAGGCTGGAGGTGTACCATTGGTAGGTCCTGGTGTGGAGCCTAGAGTTGGTTAGTCGTCTCAAGTTGGTCCGAGTCTGTGCGAGGGGCTGTTAGTCTTTGGTGGGGCCAGGAGTGCTTCCCAGGGGTACAGCCTGGATTTGGCTTGTAGTTGGACCACACACTTGTCTGGGGGTGGGCCCCGGAGTTTATCCTGGTGTTGGGGTTTGGATTTGAACGAGCGCTATTTCAGGTGCCCAATGAACCTGCTTGCCTTGCTTTCATCTGCGACACAGAACATTCCAGAAACTTGATGAATGCCTTTTAGTTAGATAAGATGTGCTATTATTATTGTATTGTTTAGACTTCCTTTTCTAGCACCACTCCATCAAACTTGGTTTGGAACCATTTGATGGCATCTTCCTTGGTGATCTTGTGTGGGAAACCAACACGTCCCTGACGGATCTTGCGCCTGGCAACTCTGGCCCCAGGACGCGTCAAGCAAATGAAGAAATCCATACCGTAAATACCGGTGGTAGGATCGTACTTGATACCCAAATCAATATGTTCGTTGATACCAAATCCAAAGTTTCCAGTTTCGGAAAAGTTTCGTCGCATGAGTTCGTATTCCTTGACCTTGAGACCACGCTCCAAAATTTCGAGAGCCTTTTCTCCACGGACAGTGACATGGACGGCAATCTTTTCGTTACGACGGATTCCAAAGGAACGGAGCGTGTAACGGGCCTTGCTGTAGACGGGTTGTTGACCGGTCAACTGTTCCAACACACGGGCGGCACGGGTCAATCTATCACCGGACTCTCCGACACAGCAGTTCAGGATCATCTTGTCGACCTTGATCTCCTTCATGGGGTTTACCTTGCCTTCCGACATGTTGATTTCGTTTTCTTGGTTGCGAGTAGAAGAGTTGCTACGAGATGAAGACGGAGGTCTACACGATGATGATGATGCCAAGGGACAACAACAGCAACCAGCGCCAAGGAAGAGATGAGGAAGGAAACTGTCGAAGGCTTTGAAGGCACGTAAAATTCTACAGAGATTGTGTACCAGAGCGATACCTCTTACTAAAAATGCATAACTTCATTAGGGAACGAGCTTGGATTCACACTTGAGACGCACACAATCCAGTGCCAGCACGTACGGTATCTTTCAGGTTCATCGGTTCTGATATCTTTTCCTCCTCCTACCGGTACTACTGGCAGGTACTGTAGCTAGAGCTCTAGGCTAGCTAGCTAGAGCTAGAGTATTTCAGTCTCACTATTATACTTTGTCCCCTCAGCTTGTTGCACTACCTTTACTAGCTTTGCCACTCCGCAACCATGGCTGCTTCTACAGCAACAACCTTTACCATTCCCGAGACCATGAAGCGTCTGGTCGTGACATCGTTTGGTGCCACAGTCAAGGAGAGCAAGATTGAGATCCAAACGGATGTTCCGGTTCCCAAACCAGCATCGGATGAAATCTTGATCAAAATGGTGGCGGCCGCCGTCAATCCATCGGATTATGGTAAATGGAAGGGCAGCAACAACAACAGTGACGAACCGCTTGCCATGGGATTGGAAGGCAGTGGAATTGTCGTAGCGACAGGAGGTGGTCTCATGACCAAGAGGGTCAAAATTGGAGACAAAGTCGCCGTGGTGGGACCCACCAAGAAGCAAGGAACCTACAGTGAGTACATTGTCATGGCCGCTACCGAAGGCATCTTTTCACTGGGTGACAAAATTCCAGTAGAAGATGCGGCATCCTACTTTGTCAATCCGTTCACGGCCATTGCCATTCTCGATACTGCCAAAAATGCGGGTGCCAAGGCATTGGTCCATACGGCAGCGGCCAGTCAACTGGGACAAATGATGGTAAAATTGACCAAATCCGAAGGAGCAAACGCTATGAAAATCATCAATGTCGTACGAAGAGAGGAACAGGCCACCCTGTTGAAAGAATTGGGGGCGGAACATGTTGTTGTTACCAGCGAAGACAATTGGAAAGAAACACTCAAAGCCAAAGTAGAGGAATTGCAGGCCACCGTTGCCTTTGATGCCGTCGCGGGAGAACAAGCGGGTGATATCTTGACGGCATTGCCGAAAAAGGGAACGCTCTTTATCTATGGAGCACTGGGAGGAACCGTCAGTGGGATTGATCCAATCCAACTCATTTATCAAGAAAAACAAGTCAAGGGTTTTTTGCTCACTCCGTGGGTCAAAGCGGGGGGGTTGCTCATGAGTGTGCCCCGCATGGTGGTTGCGGGACGAAAAGTCAATGCCGGTTTATTAACCAATGGAGGATGGAGTAGTTCGCAATTCAAAGATACGACAATGGAGAAACTGCAAAGCGATGTGGTGGAACTGCTCGAGAATAAGGCCACGGGGCAAAAGATGAGACTGCGCATGGATGTTGTTTAGCTACCGTAGCTGACTTGCCAGCCAGCAACCGGATCGTCCAAAATACTGCTAGCAAACCAAACCACACGCCTAATAAAAAAGGGACCACTTATGCCAATGCGTGGCGATCAAAGCTCAGCATTTCCCAAAGGAGCTTGTCCAATCAGTTGGAAAGCTTCTTGTAGGTAGTAGAAGCAATTGGGACGGTTTACATAGAGGCTCGACCCAGCTTGGGGAACGCTATCCGTAAACGCTATCTGTACAGGTATAAAGTCGGTTTTGGTCCATCGCTTTGAGACATCAGCGATACTATAGCAAAAACAGTACAATATCGGAAACCTTCTGTCTCACTCTCTATTTTCTGAGTTAACGGGACTCAATAATGGACCAAAATATTTAACTATCTGACAAAAAGTATAACGAAAATGAAATACACGTTTAACATAGGGTATGTGATGTTAAATCATGTGGTCAGTATGGGAAACTTGCTATGAGTCAATGGTACTTGAGGTCGATTTCGTATTAATCTACTTATTGGTCAATCGGACATTGAGACAGTCATTTGCTTATAGACGGTTTTGGTCCATTTTTGGGCTGTAGGGCTGGTACACTTTCTACATGTCTCACCCACTTCCTTTATTAAACTCGTAGTGTCCCTGTCTCAACCTGGTTTTGACCTTTTTGCGTTGAATTTTTCAACTTCAATCACTTTTTTAAATTATCCTTAACCCTCCAAATTGCAAATCTTCATTCCTCGTTTGGATCCGACAATGAGAATGTAGTCCCCATGGTGTTGTCCCCAAGGACAAAGACACAGTTCCAGACAACAGCAATTGACAATGTTGAGCAAGACAAAACAGTGCTGGGAGTCTCAGAAGAGGACGGTCCAAAGCAGTTGGGCGTTCCGAGTTCCGAGGTACCGGTACTTGTACCCAAAGTTGGTGGTCGCTTTGTTGGTCTTTTTCAAGTTTCTTGATCGCTCTGCTGTCCAAAAACGAGACGGAATGGAAATTCCTATTGTTGTTGCTGTGCCTGATGATAATCATGAAGAGACTACTACTGAAACGAAATGCCGTTATCATGGAAATTGTCCCATCGGAGAGGTCTGCCAGGATGGTCTCTGCTCGCCCTATAGGAACTCGAACTCGACTCTACTAAAAGCGTTCGACCAACAGCGAGTTGACAAGTGCTGGGAAGCTTGTCTCGTAGAGCTCCAGGCGGATGAGTGGTATTATCATGATGCTGTCCCTGTTGTTCAGGCGAAAGATCCCTCGGAGATTGGATGCATCTTGACGTATCGACGGCAACCAAAAAAGGGCGACAACAACACCAATCCTCCATGGACTCCTCCAACTATGGAAGAATGGATGCAACAGCGCTTTCGACGAGTCATTCGTACGGATCCTGTCGTCGCCCAAGACCACATTTGGCAGGCACTCTGTGCCTTTCCATGCGAAACCAATGCAGATTGTCCACAACCAGAAACGACATGCTTGGGAAGACAAGAGTCTGACATTCCTCCCAAGATTTCAGGTTCACCCAAGACGTGCAGTCGGCGACAACAACAACAAGATGAGCACCAAGATGACATGATGATTGTCTCGGGCGCGAACCCTTTCTATTTTGAGGCATTGGAAAATTTCGCAGCCTCGTTGCGGTTTTGGTCCCCCAACTCCAAGCTCGCCGTCTACAGTTTGGGCCTGCTCGAGGAACAACTAGCACAAGTAGCAGAATGGCCCAATGTGCATCGCATCCATTGGAAGGATGGATTCCCGGCATCCTTCCCACCTCATGTAAAGGAACTGAAACAATATGCCTGGAAGCCGCTCGCCATTAATGCATCCGTCCACGAGTACAAGTCCATCTTCTGGTTGGATGCCGGTGCCGTCTTTGTGGGTCCACTGGATCCTATCCAAGACATTTTACATCGGGATGGGATATTCTTGGTCCAGGGACAAGATGACGACATGAAACGACTGTCTGTTCCCGGGACGTACCAATGGTTGGGCTTTGACAAAGACACGTTTGTGGGAGGACCTAACTTTGCGGGCGGGGTACAAGGTCACGTCTATCCTTCCAGATATATCGATACGATCGTGGTGCCAAACGCAGAGTGCGCATGGGATCCAGCGTGCATTGCTCCGGAAGGGAGCGGGCTTAATAATCATCGCTATGACCAGACGAGTTTGAGCATACTGGCACACCAGCACCATGTATTGCCGCATCACTATACAGAATATCTTGCAGGAGGAATAGAGCAGCTGAATCAAAACAGGCAAGAACCCAAGCGGTTCATATTCTGGACAGCCCGACGAAAAGACACATACTTTACAGAACTCGCCAGTGAGATGCCGCTGCTAGGCAAATTGAAAAAGAAACCAAAAGAGAAGAAGAAAAGGAAAAGAAGAAAAGGAAAAGACAAAAAGAGAAGGCTCGCGGCTGACTGACGTCCACAAAGTCGGAATTCAATTGACGACTCGCAACACTGTCAATAGTGCGGGGGTCAGAAAGTGGGGTGTTCTACGGAGGATCGGCACGTTGGATCACGGTGACGAGCGAAACAAAAAGATTAACGTAGACTACTCCACGGTACCGTACGGTACGGTGCAGTACACAGCGTGACCCTCTAGACTTTTGGAATCGAAGGCACTCCTTCGGTCGGCGAAACAGATCGTAAGGGTGTTCCAAACAAACCCATTCTGAGAACGTCTTGCCACAATTTCTGCTGTCGCTTCGCTCTTTTAGTGCAAGCAGTAGTCAGTGCCGAGAATCAAAGAAAAGTCATCAACAACGTGACAAAGCCAACAAGCAAAGCGATCGACAAAGCCCGTACAGGGTTTCTCCAGGCCATGGCTGATCTATATGCGTTGAATCAGACTGAGGCATCTCTGTTGACCATTGCCAAGAAGGCTGGGTATGCTAGCAATGACAACAAAGCATTCAAAGCAGCATTCAAAATGCTCTCAAAAAGGAAGACATCGTGACAAAGCCAGAGGGCGGCAATGTCGAACTGACACAGAAAGGGATTGATGAACACTTGCCTCCTCCACGCCCACCGCCCACCAACGAGGAGATTCAAGCGGAGACTCTCGAAAAATTCTCAAGGCTGACAAGGGGCTCCCCAACGAAGAGAAGACAACGTTGATTTACAATCATATGTTGGATGGAAAGGAACATAGCAAGAAGGAACTCGTCAAATTGGCTGGGTGGGCAAATACGGACAACAAGGCGTTCAAAAAGCTGATGAAGTGCATGAAGGACATGGGTCTGATTGAGCAGGGAGGAACGGTTCAGTTTGCTGATGTGTTGTTCCCAGGTGGAAGGCCTGAGGAGGACACAGTTGCCAATACTTCCGATGCGTCTACCTCTCGTAAGCGCAAGGCTGACGATGGTGAATTGGAAGAAGAATCAAACAAAAAGGCATCCGTCGACAATTAGTTCGAGGGCGCGATCTCGAGAAACACGGGTGGCACGACGTGGTGCACCGTGGGGTGTTTGACTTATTGTCTAGAGTAGAGGATAGGAATGCCCGTCCGATAGGGAAACGTTCATCGCTTCTATTGTTACAACTATAAGTGTTTGGTTTGCTTTTACCTACATCACTTGCAAGTTTGCTCGTTGATGCAAATTGGAGGGAAGGGGGAGGAAATAGTAGGAAGGACACCAAATTCCACGTACATCAAAACTTGCGTAGGGATCACCCAATTCAAGAGTAACTGTATTCTGAACGTGGCCGCTTGGGTGAGTCTCTTGTTTGTTGGTCTTCATGGTATACAGAAGTGTTGGTACCATAGCTCGTGGTGCTGGTCATGCTAGGATTCCTTTCTGCTCTTTCTGCTCTTCGAGACATCCCTCTTTCGTCCAGTGGATGCGTCCGATGCCTCGGTTGCTGTCGAGCATCAATCCTGATCTGGGTCAAACCGTCGCTCAGCTCTTCCTCAATCTCGGAAAGTTGTTCCCCATATCGAAGCTTGTCCTCGATTTCTGCCGGCAGTTGGTCCAAGTTTCGTTCAACTCCCTCTTCATATGCAATGAAGTGATGTGGTTCTACAATAGGATAGGCATTCACACTCCCTCGATGTCGACGACCATACAAATACACAAGGAACATATCCCTCTTTTCAAACTGCACGTGTTCCAAGATCAGAGAAAAGTGTAAGGCATTTCATCAAAAAGGACGTCCGGTAGTGAAAATTGATACACTTACCTCGTAGTAAAGCTCTAGCCACTTCGTGCGAATCGAGAGAGGAACTGTGAAAGGATCAAGCACCAAGGAAGGCCAATAGTCGAATGTAGAGTGTTTCACAAAGCCAATGCGACTGAAGTTGTTCTTGACGTAGTCAGGCAGAGTCAGCAAGATTTGCTCCCTCAAATCCTGCTCCTCCTGGGCATGCATTCGTTGCGATGTTTGTGCACTGTATGTTCTATTCGTCCTGAAGGAAGAGCGATAATCGAGCTGTCGACTGGGCTGAGGAGAAGTGATTTGCCCTACCAAAGCGGCCCCACGCCGTCTTCTCTCCGAAGAGTTGGTGCTTGAAGAGGCCTGACTTTCGCTTTGCCGCGATGATTTGACTGATGGATCAGTCAACTTTGACTTCAACGATACAATTTCCGTGTCTTTTGCTTCGATTTTTAGCCGCATCGACATGACTTGCTTTTCTGCCTTCTCCCTGCGCTTTTTCTCGAATTCAAAGCCTCCCGCCGTGGAACCATTTCGGCTGAGAGGTGTTTTGCTGTTTTGGATTGAGAGCAGTTGACTTTCGGCATCCTCGCGTTGATGTCGCTCCCGGTCGGCTTTTGCACGAGCATCTTCAAGTGCTGCCTGAGCCTTATCGAAATCACTTCGCATAGATTCCAGCTCAGTCTGCAGCTCAATCACGTGTTGTTGCATTTCTTGATGGGCTTGTTCGTTTGTTTCTATAGTGGATTCGTCATGAGTGCCACTGCTATGCCAAAACTTGTTGCTCGTGAGCCTTTTACGAAGTGTCTCCACGGTTGATTCAGCTTCGCTTCGAAGTCTCCGCTCTTTCTGATACTTTTCTTCGGCCTCTGCGTATTCAGGGATCATGTCACGGAAGGCTTGATTCTGCTTTTCAAGTTCTCCTCGGAGCTTTCGCTCTTCGTCCAGCGAATCCTTTGTCAACTTTTGTTTTGATACCGCAAGCTCTAGTTCGTCTTTCAGAGCAACCAGTTGATACTCAAGTTCATCTTTGCGATCAGATTCGGTTGCCTCTTTCTGGTTTGCAACCACCTGTTCATGTTTGAGTCTAACGATCTGCTCTCGAAGCGATCGGCACAATTCCTCGGCTTCTTCGCGCAGTTGTTTCTCGTTGTGCAGCTTGTCTTCAACAAGGCGAAGCGCTTGATGGTTTGCGGCCTGAATGTTGATGATTTCTTGCTCGGCCTCTTCTCGTCTTCTGCGCCCCAAAGATCTTTCTTCCATGGACAGGTCAACCTCAATGGCTCTCCTTAATTCCCGTTCCTTCATGATTTGCTCCTCGGTCTCTTCCAGCGATTGTTGCATGGATGCACATTGCTCCCTAGTCTCTCGCAGCTCGTCGGTGAGCGATGATATCTTTTCCTTCAGTTTCTTCTCAGATGTTTCTCCCTCGGCCTTTATTGTTTGAATGCTAATGGTGACCGTCTCTATCCTTAGTCGCAAGTCAGAGCACTGCTTCTTTGTTTCCGCATGTTGCGTTTCGGCTTCCTCTAGTTCAAATGTTAACTTCTTGATGCGCTGGTTCAACTCAAACACCTCTTCTTCAGCTTTTTCCTTCAAGCCCTGTTCGGATTCGTATTGCTCTTTCAAGACCTTACACTGAGCTTCAGCTGATTGTAGTCCTGCTTCCAGCATATGCACCCTTCTATCAGCTGCTTCTTCGGACTTCTCCCTGCTAGTATGTTCTTCCTGATACCGTTCTCTCGCCTGCGTCCAGCGAGATGTTACCTCCGCCAGTTCCTCCTTGTACTGCTCTTTAACCTTCTTCTCGCGAGCCGACGCCTCTGTGAGTTCCTTGCTGTAGTGCTCCTTAAGCTGCCTTTCGCGAGCTGAGGCCTCAGATAGTTCCGCATCAAGCATCTTCGCCCTTTCTTCTGCTTCCGACAGCACCGATTTGCTCTGCGCAGAAGCCACACGTAGCTCTGCCAATTCTCTCTCGTGAGCAATGCGCTTATCTCGTTCTTTCTGTATCAAGGCTTCCAACTGGCTCAGCTTCTGATCACGTTCCTTTGCGACCAAGGCCTCCATTTCTTTAGCTTGCCCGTCAAGCTCTTGTCTATGCTTTTCCTCCAACTCCTCGATTTCTCTCAACAGACGTTGTTGCGCATCTTTGCCTTGCCGGCCTAGCTCTTGTTGGTGCTTTTCCTCCAAGTCTCGGATTTCTCTCGACAGACCTTGCACATCTTTAGCCTGCCGGTTTAGCTCCTGTTGGTACTTTTCCTCCAACTCTAGGTAGTCTCTAGACAGCGTTTGTGCGTCCATAGATTGCCGACTAAGCTCCTCTTGGTGCTTTTCCTCCAACTCTCGGTATTCTCTGGAAACTTTCGTTCGCTTTTCAGATTCTTTCCGGTGTTTTTCGTCTAGTTCGCGATTAGTTGCTTCCAACTTGCGATGTTCGGACTCCAACTTGCGATGTTTGACTTCCAACTGCTTGAACTTGGCTTCAAAGTTTTGATGATTCCCTTCCATGAGTTGTTGCGTACTTTCCAGCTCACGGTACTTGGCTTCCATTTGTTGGCACTTCTCCTCTAAATGTTGACATTTCTCTTCGGTCATCTGGTTTGTAACTTCCCAACTCCTACATGTGTCTTCCATCTCTTTGTATTTGGTTTCCAGTTTTTGAAGCTCTTCCTTTTTAGCTTTGAGCTCAGCTTCCATCGAATCTAGTTCATCTTCCAATGTTTCCATTGTTTCCTTAAGCTCTGATCGCAAGGCTTTCTCTTTCTTGCTGTCTGCCTTTGCTTCAATGACTTGTTCTTGGAAGGTTGCCTGCTTTTGTCGAAGATCTGCCAACTCGTGCACGGTTCCACTGGTACTACTCTTGGCCACTTCAATCTCAGACCGGGCTTCAGCCACTTTTTGCGCCAGTTCTTCCATCCGTTTCTTGTGTTCTTGCTTCTCCTGTTCGAGGGCATCTTCAAAGTGCTTTCGGTTCGCTACCAGCTGCTCTTCGAGAGCCTCTCGTGAAGTCTTTTCTTGTCGCACTCGATCCCTGGCCTTTTCCAAGGCTTTTCGAGCTTCAACCTTGAGCAATTCGTACTGTTCCTGAAGATCTGCGTTGCGCAATTTCAGTCGTTCCGTGTTCAAGCAATCCTCGACGTGAGACCGCGCCGTGGTGCGCCGATCAATGTTATAGGCATACCCCTTTTCCCGCATGACAATGACTTGTTTGTCGGCTTCTTCCCGAAGTTGCCGCTCTCTAGTGAACTTGTCATTGGCCTTATGTAGATCTTCTTCGGCATGTTTCAGTTGGTCCTGGACATCGTTTAGTTGAGCCATCAAGCTGGCGACCCTGACATGATGGTTGGGATCAATTTGTTCCTTTTGTTTCCATTTGTCGTAGGAATCATGCTTTGCCGTAGATAAATAGGGCTCGTCATCAGTTTCTTCTTGTCGTAATTGTTGCAGCATTTGGTACTTTTCTTCCGCATTGGCTTTCCCGGCCTTTTTGGCAAGCTCCGTCATTTGATTTTCAAACCTTTCCCGTTTCTTGCATTCTTTTTGGTACTTGCGGTCCGTCGCTGCCAACTGAGCCTCTTTCGCCTGAAGCTGTCGTCGAAGCATGGTCATCTCCTTTTCAGCACCTTTGCGAAGACTTACTTCGGACTTTTTGCGCTGTTCGGCTTCGGTCACTTCAACGTCTTTGACAACCATCATCTTTTTCAGTTTGATGAAATGCTTTTCTGCGGACTCGCGCTGCTTTCTTTCTTTGCTGAGCGCTTCTTCAGTTGCTGCTAGTTCAGCATCCTGATCTTGCAAGAGACGACTAAACTTGAACAGTTGTTCATTGGCCTTTTGGAGCAATCCGCGTTCGGCCTTGTAGAGTTCTTCGGCTTTGATTGCTTCGAGGTTGACGAGCTTGATGGCATTTTTGAGGGATGCCAACTCGGCCGCTTTGGTAGCGTTCCCCATAGAAGCACCAAGACTTATGGTGGTGCTACTCTCTGTGCTTTTCATGCTCTTGTGATCGCTCATGCCTGTGCTCAAGCCACTAATGCCGACGACATCATCAAATTGAAAGGACCGAATATCCTCGAGAGTGGTCGTTTCAACTCCCTCGCTGAGCGTCCCATCATCTTCACTCCGAGACACCGTTGATACAGACACTGATACAGAACCCATGGACTCGGCCGATATGCCATCAGACATCATCATTGTTGCGAGCCGTCCTCCAGAAATGGAGGAGGCCGCTGACTGGGGTGCGCCTTCCACTTCTGGCCAGTCTAAATCAACCCTTGCTAGCTAGCCCTGTTCGGAAGAGGCAAGATAGAGAGAATGTCAAAGTATCGCAACAGCAGCGCTGCTCACATGAATCTCTTGTGCCCGACAACAACACTCAAGTGCAGGGTGTTTGGTGTCTCAACTCGATTGTTTCGGGGTGTCCTCGTGGTGAAGGTCGAAGGCGATTTGTCCGAAAAAGTGGCATCCAAAGCAACGACATCGATAAAGCCGGCCGGCCAGCAAAACAGTTCCATTTACGGTATTTAAAGGCGATCTAGCGCTCCTCTCTGCCGCCTGACTCTCAATTAAGCCAGTGGATTTGTCTATCATGCCCGAAGCAAAACCAAGACAAGCTACCAATACCGGGACGGCACCGGTACCTGGTACCGGTACTAGTACCAGGTACCGGTATGATGCCATGATAACAACAGTGATCCTCTCTTTCAAGTTTGTTCTGATGTTCAGCAAGGCGCGATGCTCTACTAGCTAGTACCGGTATCTCATTTTGAATCTCACCCATGGCAATCCCACCCTGTATAATAAACTCAGTCAGTGGATTGTAACGCTTCACCGTCTGCATTGTAGTACCTTAACCCATCCTATTGAATACCCTAACTCTCTTACTTGCTTCAATAATCAAGTGATCTGCGTGGCGCTGAGTGCTCATAATATTCTTTTAGAGCCTTTCACTTTGTTGTATGCTGGTCTACCGACCGGTACATTGCACACTATCGGCACTGTGCCCTCTTGCGAGGAGACGGGTGCTGGTACATGTACGGTAGTGTTGCTGGTCCGTCCCCTTCGCAGATGAGTGGAGTCGAGTGGAGTGGAGTGCCAGTGAGAGTCTATGAAAGCTGGCATGGATATGCAGCTTGCGCTGCCTAATATTCTCGGATCTGACACCGGATTGTTCCAAGAAGCACTCGAAGTCTTTGTCCCTCCAGAAGTTCAAATCTGCCTTTTGTTCTATATTTTATTATCCTTCATTGAGGTCCCTCTTGGGAGTAGAGCCCGCAACTCCATGTAGAAACTACGTAATGCAGTACCATGGTACTGTTTGTACATACGCAGTGCCTTCGGTTTGCCAAAAGCAAACTTTCACAACTCTCTCTCATTCATAGTTTCACAAAACACACAATACACTACCAAAAGTATAGCCTGACCATGCCAACACAAGCTTATCTCCTCTTTGATGAGCGTATGGCTCTTCATAGACCCATACCTGATCCTGAAGACCCTGACTATTACCCGTTTGAAAACCCTGACCGCATTTTCAAGGTCTATGGTCGGTTGCTCGATCTTGAAAGGCGCCTTGCCCGCGATGTCTCGGATGACGTGCTTCAGAACGAGTTGGTCCCCCGCTTTGTGGAATTTCCTTGCAAACCAGTGGAGAGAGAGACTGTGGAGCTAGTGCATTCTCGGGAGCACTATGATTGGCTTTTCCATACCGCCTTTATGTCTGACGGCAGATTGCGGCAGCTGACCGACCCAGACGACCTGTACATTTGCCAGTCCACCTTTCTGGCATCCTCACTTGCCTGCGGTGGTGTCGTGGAATGCGTCAACAAAGTCACCAGCGAGGATACAACCTTGGACAACAACAGCAGTGAAAGGAAAATCACTCGAGCCATTGCGCTTGTGCGACCTCCTGGTCACCATGCCGAGGAAAACGAGGCGATGGGTAAGCAAGATTCACGATCCGTGGCTGGCGGTTAAGTGCCGCGCTACACAGCACAAATTCGCGTTGGCCACTTTTTCACCCTCTCACCGCAAAGCTGTGTACCATCCTTTGCTACACACTACTCAGGTTTCTGCTTTTTCAACAACATTGCGGTGGCTGCCAAGCACGCTATTAGCACGGGGAGAGCTAAGAGGGTCTTTATTCTAGACTGGGACATTCATCACGGCAATGGCATTCAGGCAAGACTGCTGTTTGGCATGTTTGGTGACCGCTTGTTGGCTGGTCCTCCAACCAGGTCCAAAAAGAGTAACTTGCAGCGCTTCCTAACCATGCGTTTGTTTTGTCCTTTCCGCATTGCTACTTTTTGCAGAATCTGACCTACGATGACCCCAACATTTTCTATCTTTCCATTCACCGCACCTCTTTCATGGCGGATGGCGGCCCCAACAAAAAGTACAAGGAAGAATGGTTCTATCCAGGCACTGGCCGGCCTACTGAAGTGGGTGAAGGGTCTGGCACTGGTGCCAATCTGAACCTGGTATGGACTCGAAGCGGAATGGGCAACGAAGAGTACGCAACCGCCTTTGGCGAGCTGGTGTTGCCAGTCTTGTCCTCCTTCCAGCCCGATCTGATTCTGGTCGCCTGTGGCCTGGACGCTGCCAAAGGCGACTTGCTGGGAGATTGTGGATTGAGCCCCGACATGTACTACATAATGACCAAGAGTCTCTTGGACCAAGCTGGAGCGGATATCCCCCTGGTGGCGGTCTTGGAAGGCGGTTACAATATCAATGTCAGCGCGGAATGCATGGAAAATGTGGCCTTGGCGATTTTGGATGAGCCATGCCACAATGGCAAGTACTACGACCTTTCTCGATACTGGAAAACGACAGGAACCTTGTCGTCCTCTGCAGGAGGCAATGACAGTGATGCGAGCCACGGTTCTTTGTCCGCCAGGAAGCAGAGGAGGAAGAAACGTCAATCCAAAGCGAGCAAGAGAAAGACCGAGACAGCGACCAACTGCATTCGAGAGTCTGCTCTAGCCTTGGAAGAGGCAGAGAGAGCCAACGCGGACAAACTCTATCCCATTGTCCCTGGGACTCCGTCCTATCATTGCGTCCACGGTACGGGCCCCATGAAGAAGAGAAAGCAGGAAGATGACCTGCCCTTTGAATACCTTGTCATCTAGCTTGCTGCAGGCAAGCTAGGCAGGGAATCAAGTTCGAGCAGGGAGTGTCCGGCCAGAAGAGTTAAGCAAGCGACGCAACCGCATTCTTTCTTGCACAATTCAACCACTACATGTGCACATTCGCCTTTCTAACCACCCGGAAGGCTGTTTTGCTGCATGTTATTGTTTCACAGACTGTAGACTGCTAACTATCTATAAATTGCTTGATTAGTTGGTTCTCGTTACCATTGCTGGATTGATTATCAATCAATCCGTATCAATCAATCCGGTGACTAGGACAAAGGTCTTGTCAACACATTGACTAACTAAAACTACAGACTTTTGGACGAGGGTTGACTGGGTCTTGACTCCTTTGACTGCAAGTAACGGGTGTGCTCCAACTGCAATAGATTGCGATGTGTAGTTTTGGAGGCCTGCAGGGCTGCCGCCGACCCGGCAGAACACGAACTCTCATCGAGAATGGAGATCGCTCAAAGCTTGCAACTTGACACCCTCTCACAATGCTGCACCCGACAACCACTCTCTTATACTTTAATAGTAACACTCCCTTGGTTGTAGTCTATTCACTCACCATGCCCAGCACTACAACGCTGTTATCTCAGAAGCAGCAGTTGTGCAAGTGTCCTTTGTGTAAGCATGACTATGACACGCAGCATCTAGCAGATGCGGATAACAATAAGAATGCCGAATCAGAGGGCGAAGACGGCAATGTCAAGAGCCCCGCCCAAGATCACCTGCCGACTTCTTGCAGATGGTGCATGAAGACTATTTGCAGGGCTTGTGTCCAAACGCTTCCGAGGAATTCGGGCAATGTCGTGTGTCCTCATTGTGATAAGGCCAAGGCATTCCATGCTACCCAAGCTGTGGTTCATGAGTTGTCTTGTCAGCTGTTGGAGTTACTCCAGAAAAGTCAACACGAAAATACTTCCACCAAGAATAATAACCAGCAGTTGATGGATCTATCGACGGAACCAACGGGCATGACATCCGTGACACCGGAACCGACTCGACGACGCATGGTGGCTGGAATGGGAGTGATATCTTTAGAGGAACTGATGACCCAAAACAAGAACAAGAACAGCGACAAATCGATCCGAGAGCATGGCTATGCCGCTGGCACTCCAGTTTGTCGCAATGGGACCGAAAGGGGAACCATTGAATCAGTGTCCACCAATAACGAGACTCTGTACACGCTTCGATTTGGAGATGGAGATCCCATTCAAGTATCCTTTCAGGAAATGAAGGCAATGGTCGAGGCCGCCAAGGAACAAAATGGAAGCAACCGATATTCCTCGGATAGTACCTTTATTGGACAAGATGTCTACAAACTATTTCCTGGATTGGGAAGTTTCAAAGGCAAAGTGGTCGATTGTACTGTGAAACGATTCTACACTATTGTCTTTGATGACCAGAAAAAAGAAACCATGGTCCCTCATGAAACGGTGGAGTCATGGGTGGAAGGACCTTTTAAAAAGAAAGTAGTATCCAGCAGGAGGAGGTCCTCTCCTGCATTAGCCGCTGCTCGCCCAACCACCACCAAGAACGACGAGGTTGAGGAAGCCACCGACAATAGCAGCCTGAGATCCAGGAAGAAGCGAAGTACCAGTATCGACGGATCAGACTTGATGCCGTCTGGGAAGAAGGCAAAGTTCACGTTGGCCGATTACAACAAAATTGCGGGGGATGACGCCACGTTGGAAGATCCGCAACCTCCCAAGAAAAAACGAGGTCGACCTCCCAAAAACGCAAAGCCTGACGGCCCAACGCCGCCACCACCACCGCAAGAGCAGCCACACTCGTCCAAGGTGTTCAAGCTACCACCCGCAAAAGCACAGTTCACTGGATGGAAAGGATTCGAACAGCACGTGTCTGATAAAGAAGGATTGCCAAAGACCTTTCGGGAGGCATTGGTCCTCATGGATTTCTTGTTCAAAGTGGCACGTGGACAAGAGACTTTTGTGGCCCGTCTGTACGAAAACTCGGGCAAGAAAGAAGGCTGGTTCAATGGCGATGATGTGCGCGTCGTGCTGCGCGAGCTTAAAAAGGAGAACCCAAAGGACTTCAAATGGCATGTGAAAGGTTCGCACTATGTACCATCCACAAAGTCCGACCTGGAGAGCTTTTTGCGAATTCTGATTCGATTAAAAATGGCACCCGAGCTGGATTCTCCCGAGGAAGCCAAGGAGTGGAAACCAACTGGCTACTCCCGACCTTCCAAGTACTTTCGCGACGTCGCAGACAAGCAAGAGGACATCAATAATGATTCTAGCAGTAGTAGCGGTAGCAGTTCTTCGGACGAGGAGGACAGCGAAGAAGAAGATGATGTACCCATCAAGAGCTTGAAGGGATCTCCTAAGAACCCGAAGGCAAGTAAAGGGGGGCTGAAGCTCGGAGACTCGTTGTTGCTGCCCGAGGAAGATCGAGCAACTGGGTGGAAGGGCTTCAACAAGCACGTGTTCGATGACGCCTTGCCAAAAAAGATGCGTATGGTGTTTGAAATGCTGGACTTTTTGTTTCCAGTGGCTGCGGGAGAAGAGACCTTTGTCACCGTCCACGACGAACGAAAGAAAATGGGAAATGGGTTGCCTGGATCAGACATTTGCGCGCGATTACGGCTACTCAAGGACGATCAACCGGACCATCCAGGTCTCAAGTGGCACAAGATGAAAACCCCCTACGTCCCCAAAACAAAGAAAGATCTCAAGAGGTTCATGCTCTGCCTTGTGAACGACTTGGATGTGGCACCGAAAGTGGCCAGCAAGGCGTTGCTCAACGAGAAGGGCTCGGATTAGATGCGCGCTCAAAACGGGGCGCTGGAGAAGCGGCCGAGGCGATCCATGCACGAGAACGAAAAACAGGCCTTGTCAATTCGCCGGAACCTCAGGGTCTGTTGCAGTACAGAAAAATCCAAAGGTTGTGGTATATGTACGGTAAAGGAGCAATATGCATGGGAATGGTTATTTGATTCTGTAGTAGCGGAAAACATGGAAGTTTTATCTCTTTCTCTTAGCAAGGTTTGCGTCAAAGTTCAGGGTATAACATAGGGCCGTCCAACATGCATGGAGAGTCTCTCTCTAGCTAGACAAGTTCCACATCGACCCACAAATGCACAAGTCACCGGATGGAAAGGATTTGAACAGCACATGTCCGGTAAAGAGAGATTGCCAAAGACCTTTTGGGAGGACTTGGTCCTCATGGATTTCTTGTTCAAAGTGGCACATGGACAAGAGAGTTTTGTGGCCCGTCTGTACGAAAACTCGGGCAAGAAAGAAGGGTGGTTCAATGGTGACGATGTTCCCGTCATGTTCCCGTAGTGCTGCACGAGCTGAAAAAGGAGAACCCAAAGGACTTCAAATGGCATGTGAAAGGTTCGCACTATGTACTAGTACCATCCACAAAGTCCGACTTGATGATGCAATTTTAAAAAAATGGCATCTGAACGATTCGATTCGATTCATTCGCACTTGCAAGCAAGCACGAGAACGAAAAACAGGCCTAGTCAATCCCCCGGAACTTCGGGGTCTGTTTGTATTGAAAAACTAAAGGTGGCGGTATGCATGGGTATGGTGATTTGATTGTCTATTAACAGAAAACATGCAAGCTTTATCTCTTTTTCTTAGCAAGGTTTGTTTCGCAGTTCGTCCGCACCGCCATGATATTGTGATCACTTAGAGGGCGGTCAAACATGGAGAGTCTCTCTCTAGCTACACAAGTTCCACATCGCTTGATAGGGCTTTGGGTTCCGTTTCGACGGGTAGCATCTGGGCCGACACAAGACCGTCGTTCTCATTGAGCGGTTGCGCCTTGGTGTCATGTACAAGATCATTTTGACTCTTTCGAAACGGGTTGGCTTTGGCGACGAGTCGCCGCCGACTTTCCGACAGTCGTTTGAAAAGAGCTGCAAGGCGTTTCCGCCTTTTCTTGAACGTCTGCTGGCTGGGACGAGCATAGTCTGGCAGCGTTTCGGGCATGAACAGGCTGTAGAGGCAAAGGGGAACCAGCGACATGATACCCAAAGCAGTAAATGCAAAAGGGTAGCCATAGTCTTGTGCAATCGCCTGACCAATATATCCTGAAACTGTGCCTCCTAGACACATCGCACCTGTCGTCACACCGAGCATCAGCGAGAAACGACCTGTTCCTCCAGAGATATCGTTTGTGACAAGGATATGCAGACAACCCAGAATACCTGCGCCCACAGCATCGAGGAATTGGGTGGAAAGGATCAGAACCTTGAGCATGTTGGACCCTTCTTCGTCCTCTACTGCTATTTCTGCCGACACTAGACCCGCCAAGAGGAAGCATCGTAACGTAAGGGAGGCCAAACCCACCAAAACCAAGTTCTTGCGTCCCCAAATGGGCGAATAGTCACCACAGATTTTGGCAAAGTAGCTCATAAAAGCTTGGGCAATGAGGATGCAAAGACCGGACAGCAAGATTCCAGCTTGGGGATCTTCCAGAGCCAAACTTTGCATGACCAGTGGCAAAACAGACGAGTTGGCAAGATGGAAGAAGAAGATGACCGCCGTAAAGATCATCAGTGTTGGATCCATCAGCACAGCCAGTGGAGTCCTTGCCTTGCGAGGCCGATCGTCGTCACTGCAGTTTGAATTGGGTTGCAGGCCCGTATTCGGATCTACTGGCAACATTGATTGGGAAGCAGTGGTCGAGTTTTGTCGGTTTCCACCATACCCCATGTTGAAGCTTGGCAACGATTCATGCGTGGTGCCGCTGGGGTGTCTAACGTGCCGTCTCACAACTGATTCGACAGTATTTGTACTGGTTGTTGCCGGTCCTGGCGCCATGGGCGGTCTGAATGGTAACGCCTGCTGCGGTGTTGGATTGGAACGTTGTCTAATCTCTGTTGTGTTGGTTGGCGCCGTCGTCGGCGCTGAAACGAATTGGAACCCATCTGCTTCGTGCTCCTGAATGGGCGTTGTGAGCAAGACAACGTTTCGGTGTTGCGAGGAATCCAAGTTGCTTCCATTCTGAAGGTTTGGTGGCATGTAGGATGATGACGTTGCCGACATGGTTGGAGACGGTTGAGCCATGGGTACCATCCCGTTCTCGAATACAGGGACACCGCCACAAGGGGAAGCGAGGCCACTGTATGGACACGATGGGTCAACATTGTTGGGTGTATATGAAAGTTGATTGATGATTTCTGCCTTTTGGCTTTCTTGTTTGGCTGGATCACAGTTTGGATCATCTTCCATCATTTGCCAACTTAGCGCTGCCGCTTCAATGGCTGCTGCTTCCTCTTCGTCATCATACTGTTCGTATTCGTTCATGGTGGGTGATTCAATGATGAGACCTCTAGCAGCATCCCTATCTACATGCTTAGGTTTGATCCGCCGAAGATTGTACGCCATCCCGATGGATGCCAATGGACTAACAAGGAACAAGGCTCCAATGTTTGGATATAAAAAGTATGCCAGAAGGGACCCAAACGCCACAATGAGAGCTGTCCCGATATGATTCATCATTCGATTCCGTGATACCTGATGAGTGAAACCAGTGGAACCCACAATCCCCAGAGTGATACCATTGAACCCTGGTGGCAAGATTGCCGTGACACCTCCCTGCAGAACCTTCCACAGTATCATCAATGCCATGTTATTGCCGTCATCTTCGGCTGTCACGGCTGTCAAGACCGTGAGTGCCGAGGCTGCTGCTCCCGCACACAGTACCCAATCAATCTTTCGATTGGAGTAATCGAGAAAGTATCCAGCCGGCGCCATGCATAAGAATTGGGAGATTCCAAAGCAAAAGAAAAGGATTCCAACTTGTTTTTCGTTGAATCCTTTGGCAGATATTAAGAACGCTGCTTGCATGTTCAACTGAAGGAAATGATACGTATAGATGGATGTATAAGGATAAAGGGAGAAAGAAAGGTTGGGTTAGCAGACATTGCAGCAGTGGCTACCCATATACCAGAAGACTTCCTGAGAAAGAGGACATTGTCTTTATCCTATGCGGCCTGTTCCTCATCCATACTAGTAACTACTACGAACCAAACTGGTCCAGACAAACTTACCATTGGAAGCCCGTCCCTCAAATCTCCCATATAAAAGGCTGCCAAGGGCAAGATTGGTCTTGCATCGACCACTTGTGGTACATGTATATCACCCCAATCTTCTGCGGCGCCAGGTGGTTGCTGTGGCTGAGGTTGTTGTGGTCCAACACCATAGGAAGAACCATGTCTGACATGTGCAGCAGCTGCTTGAGCTGCACATGTTGTTGGTGCTGCAACAGAAGGAGCCGTCGTGTTGGATGCGAAAATTGTGTTGGTAGATTCAGTCAGCGACGTCATGGCGGCGCTTTCCCCTATTCTGCCAATACAATGCCTGCTATTGAAAGACTGTCAACATATACCAGCACCTACTAGAATCAATCCAACGAAGTATCAAGAGATGAAAACGTTCTTTTGGTTCTAGTATCCGCCTTTCTTCCACACAAGTCAACAACAGGGCCATTGAGATTGGCGGATGATGCCGAAGATGAAGTGAGGCGAGAAATAGGAAGCAGGCAGGACACGCGCAAAGCGCTTGGTTCCCGAGTATTTAGAGGTTCGTTGGAAGGCACGTCCCCCGATATTCATTCAACGGTCTTAAGCTTTCTCACATTTTAATCACGGCTTCAGGAAGTCACGAATTGAATCGAATCAATCACAGAGCGCCAGTGACTCAGTCACTCCAAGAGCTACAGTACTAATAATACGCTGTACTGTGCGGTGGGGAGTGGGTTGGTGGATGAGGACACCTGCAAGGATTGAACGAGACCGATCAAAGTGTCTAGCTCGGACGAATGATGAATCGAACGTAACCTGCATGCAAGGACGAAAGCGAAGGATCAATGCGTCTAGCTCGGACGAATGATGAATCGAATCATCGAATCTTGAATCGAATCAACAGGTGAATCAGTTCCGTACGGTACATGTCTACTACCGTAGCTACAGAGAAACGAAACTCTGGCTAGCTAGGTCACTGGTTGAACAATACGTATCATTTCTAAATAAATAAGCAAAACATAAATTTGCTGGTCTCAATCAGCCGCTCTTCGTAAAGTGCTGGGAGGCGCCTTGCATTCATCTTGCATCAGTCCTACGATGGAGCTACACCTCCGCAGTTTCCAAAGCCCTTTCATGTTCCACCGTGGCAATCTCCTCTACCACCCGTGCCATATCCTGTCCTTCATCCTTACCCTCCTTGGGAGCGCAGCATTGGTGGAAAACATCAGCACCGGGCATCTGGTTAAATGCGCGAGACTTGAGGGCAACGAGTGATGCAAAACGAAGGAAGACCAGCATGGAAACTAGTACAATCCAATATACTGTGTCGTTGCTTCCAGCGGCATCTTGTGACTGGAGATATTGAGCACAAAAGTAGTTGGTGGGCAAGGGCAAATGTCGGAAGGATGCCTCTTCAATCGGGTCTGTTGGTTGTCGGCATGTTTCCTTCTCCTTGACGGTCCTGATGGCACCATTTATATCCGTTGCATTGAACCCAAGGTCTTCTGCTGCCATCATGAATTTGGCATAGACTTCTGGGGTAAACAAGTCATCTGCATGTCTGTTGTAGCTCTCTGAGCATTTGGTGTTCCCATTTGGATCCTCCTCTGGAATGAAGGAGAGGTGTGAGCAATGGTTCCTATCTTTGAGCACCAGAGCAGTGTGCAGAGTGCGGCAGCCGGTGGAATTGCCATCAAGTACAGTTTGTCCTCTGGAATTCACGGTGGTTGTGGGGAGTTGGGACATCTTTGAGATACAATCATCCTGTGCTGCAAACCCATTGTTTTCCCACGTTGAGGGGCAAAAGTTCTGCATGGTCTGACAAATCTCACTGGAAACTTTTGTTGGGTCTACCTGGGGCTCAATGAAATCTTCATACAAAGCTTGGGGGGTAAACACATCCAGTCTGGAAACCCAGGTTGACTGGAGATCATCAGCATAAGTGAAGCTGAATTTGGATCCCAAGAAGAAGTGGCCATAGGACTCATCATTGTATTCATCTCGGCGATATTTTTGATTCAGAGATGCTTGTTGGAGTGCTGTGTAGACAAACGAACATTGATTCTCCTCTGGAGATGGATAGAAGAAGAGCGCTCTGGTTCCTGCGACTTCACAAGGTTCACTCAAAACAAAGCTATCTTCCGCTGGGGATATCAATCCCAGGTATTCCACTGCACCAGTGTACTTGCCAAACTCGCCAGTTTCAGCAACTGTGATGGTAAAATCATCTGTGGCGATGGATTCAACATGCTCCTGAGAGAACAAGGCAACACCACCCAAATCTGTTTGTTCTGTATTGACCAGAGCTTGGATGCAGTTCACAAGCTGGCGCTCCACTGGAGAGAAATCAACACATTGGGAAAACTCATCAGCCAGAAAAAGCCTAAAAGCATACGTTGTTGGCATCAAATAGGTCAGCCATGAGATCCAAACCGGCAGGGAATCAGGGTTCACAAAAAAGCCCGAGAATAGCAGCTGGGGGAGGATGATCAATGCGATGAATTCTTTGGCGATCCTTGGATCCTTAGGCAGCGACCCCAGCAAATAGCTCATAGACACATTGACCATGGTCAACGCAAACATAATCATGATGAAGTACCACAACCGGATATTCAAAGCCAGAGCCCAGTATGTGATGAGTACAACCAATGCAGCTTGTAAGAGGATCAAACACAAGTCCAAGCCAAATTTTGTAAGGCCAACTGTGTGTCAGGTGGGATCAAAACAACGGGTTAGGTGCAGGCACCAGCAAACAGAAACCACTACCTCTGTCTCGAACTGCAACACTTACAAGTAAACATGTTGTAATGGTTTGTCCTGATTTCCTTGATGTACAAATCACGGACTCCAATAAAGTCAAACAAGGTCAATTGGAGGATGAGGGTTGTCCCAAGCAGCAAGAAGAATATAGCTCCGACATGAGAACTAAAGGATGCTGGGTTCTGGAGTGAATCTTTACCCACACCGGTAAAGGTAATAGCAGAAAGTGCACTACTACCCAGAATCATCCCAAAGCGCATGAGCATACCATTGCCATCCCTGTGCAATGTGCGAACATCACGTTGGAGCTGCTGGGAGAGCTGGGTGGACATGGTGGCAGTGGCAGCCACCTCTGTTATGCTGGCTGCTGTGGAAGCAGAGGCCTCAGTGCGCCCGGCATCTGAAGTCATCATGGATGACTCTTCCTCAAAATGCAAGTCTTTCGAAAAGAAAACTGACTCTCCAGGTACCTTCTCTGATTCTTCCAGTGCCACCTTCAAAAGCCATTCTGCAGGGTTGTATTGATTGGGCAGTTCAAAGCCTGGGCCCATAGAAGCAAAATACTCCACAGCCTTGGATGCTTTGCCTCGGTACATGCAGCGGCCTCTCTCAAGAAGAATGAGTTTGTCCATTAGCGAAAAAATCTCACTGGAAGGCTGGTGGAGGACCACGAGAATGCTGGCCCCGGCTTGGGCAACATCCTTACATATCTGCATCACAGTGGCAGCATTGCGACTGTCCAAACCACTAGTGACCTCATCGAGAAAGACTATGCTTGGACAGACAACCAGCTGCACTCCCAGGCTCACACGACGCATCTCGCCTCCACTTAGTCCACGAAAGTGTTCCCCGCCAATCAACGAATCGGCGACTTTAGAGAGTCGAAGTTGCTTGAGGATTTTGTTAGTGAGTTCTTCAATCTCACGGTCCCTGATCGATCGTGGCAGACGCAGCCTGGCAGAAAAGTAGATTGCTTCTCTAGGGGTGGCAGTGGCCAGGAGAGTATCATGCTGCTCCGTGTAGGCCACTTTGGATTGCAGTTTTTGAGATCTGGGGTCGACCACCTTTCCATCGAGGTAGATGTTCCCTTTGATCTGCACTTGTCGAGAGGGTTCAGCGCGACCAGCAAGATATTGCAGAAGAGAAGTCTTTCCAGAGCCTGGGCGAGGCAAGAGAGTGAGAACGAAGATGAAGGCATCAAATAACTCCATTGCACCGGATTTTCTGACGTACCTGATTGTCCGATAATGCAGCAGAGTTCCCCTGGGTTTGCCTCTCCTGATACCTTGCGAAGGATGGTCGTGTCTTCTCCATTCTTCTTGCTCTTGACTTGCATCTCTAAGTTTTCCCATGTCAGGGTATGACCAGGACGATGAGCAAAGGGGTCGATGGTCGGCTTTTGGTTGTTCTTTTGTGTATTCATTGCGGTTAAGTTTGTTTGCATTGCTTTCTAGAGTTAGCTTTGTCAGCGCGGGTTTTGGTTTTTGGATGTTGTGATCAACCGAGGAAGACCTCAGATCTCTGCTTTTTATTTTTTATTCAGGGCAGTCATTTCGACTCGACTCGACTCGACTCACGAGATCAACCACCCAGGTCGAGCACAGACAGGTTTCTCGTAGGCTACGGTACGATATTTAGCCACGATGCCCGTTACCTGGTACAGTTCATGCATTGGCCTATTGTGGTCTCGACTGGGGTTCCTTCTGTCTCCAGTCACATCACTGAAATGCACTTTTCACATATGAATGTACGGTATACCGGTAATAGTGGCATAGTAGTACATCTTACTCTAGCTAGTTTCCTGCCGAGAGCTACATACAGAAATGTACGGATTACCGTGCCTAACGCAGGGTTCATTGTCACTGCGAAACAGAGATGTCGAACTCTGCTTTTTGCTCACACATGACAGTACAGCATCCAACGAGTAAAAGTCTCGGTCGAGCCGTCTTCATCCCACGTCGTCCTTCTTTACATACATGCAGTATAAAGTATTTCAGTCACGTATCACACGGCACGGTACTGAATAAAGCGTGACAGCAGTCCAGTCCTCGTCACTCAAGTCATTTGAGGCGAGGGTGTGTTTGACGACACAAGTGAGAATCGCACGCGGGCATGTAGTGTTCCAAGTCTTGTAGAATGTATGTGACAAAAAACCCAGCGAACCTCGTCATGTGCCTCTATAGTTAAATATGGCAACCCGCAACCCAAAGCTCAATAAATCTCCCTTGGGAAGAAGAAGTCGTCAGTAGACATTTTTGCCCAGTATATAAGACCGAGATTCCAGGAAACGCAGGTCCGAATTGTGCTCAACAAAACGGATTCTATTTTCGGAACTTTGTGCTCTTGTTAGCTACTAACTAGCTAGAGTACCGTGGCGAGGCTGGTAGCATAAATGCTACAACAGTAAGTATCCATTTTCGGAATCATCGCCCAAGTGGCAGTTTTAATCTAAGCACCTCTAAGTATTGCCAAATTTGAATTTATCTCTTGACCGTTTTCTGCACCTCCATCCACGGACCAAAGACCTCACAAGCTCACAAAAGCTCGAAGGAGGGATTGAGTTTGGGTCCATCATCAAAAGCTTTCCGATATCCGATCGCCACTCTAGCACTGTTCTATCCATCAAATCTTGAAGAATTCTTCCATAAATCGATCAACAACAAAACACTCACCATGACTATTAACACAAGTATCTATGCTATTGACAAAGAAACCGGGGAACGCTGTTGGGTCAACGCCAAGGCCCCCAGGAGTGTATCCAATGAATCTCTGGAAGGGGATATCATGCTTCTCATGAGGGATGGAGAGCACAGCGGGTACTTTGAGGGGAGACAACGACGATTTGATCTGCAGTTCCAGTTCCGCTTGAAAAAGAAAACCAACACAATGTGGTATGGGGTTGAGCTTGATGAGAGCCTCAATCTTGGAACAGTCCAAAGGCTTACAGCAAAGGCCGCATTGGGCTTCTGCCAGAAAATGAATCCAGGCTCATTCCACAGCCGCATATCCAAGGAGCCATGCATGGTGTTCAAGGTCGCCAACAGCATGGATGCTATTGCTAGGACTGTCCCAGGCGACTTTCTTCCTTGTCTGGGAGAAGCCATTGAAGAATCCCGCGAATCCATCCGAAAGAGGGAGAAAGAAGGGATGGAGTGGAATACCAGAGATACATTCACCATTTCCTGCTTCAGTGCATACTTTGACTTCTTGAGCTGGTCCATCATGAATCTACCAGTTATTCCAACCATTGATGCCACAAAAGTGGTTGGAACCCAGCCTTTTCGGTTTGTCTTGTACACACTCAAGAATGAGGATGGACCTCATGTCCCTGAGAACAAGAACTATGTTTTCAACCTGGAGATTTGTAACCCATCCAAGACAACCATTGGACCGGCTGCTATGAAATGGATCAAGAAATATGAGAAGAGAGAAGAAGCTGACCCTGCTGCCAGCCCCAGGACCAGCAAGTTGATGACAGGCAGATTGTCACTGGATGGGAGCGAATGCTTCACCGACCCCATTGTCTGCATGTAAGAAAAATTGGCGACTCAATTTTATTCTCTTTTTTTGTAGTATAAATAATGGTTGCATGTTCCGCTAAACTATCTAGTAATACGATTGTTACTAGCGAAACATTGGTTTGACTTTCGACAACTCGTACTATTAGAAGAACATCGACTATCTATTTGACACGAAGCAGATCCGCTACCCTTCAGGAACCGGACTAGGCAAGATTCCGAAATGGAGATGCATTGACTTGGCCTGTCTTTAAGGTGTCATTCTCCACGTACCAGACATAGTCCGCAGCCATGCGCCCAGGTGCCTCGTTGGCAACCATGGGAAATGATATGGTGCGAGGCATGACGGTGAAGACACCGCGATTCTTGGGTGTTAGTTTCATGCCAGGTGTGTGCCCAGTAGCCAAGAGGCTGGACGAAGATCTCCGTAAGGCCCGAGAAGGAATGCCTCCTCTTCCCAAGATATGGTTTTCACCCGCCAGGACGGCTGTCCAGTGTCCTTGGGGGTGCTTTTGATGGCGGTTCACTTCAACCAGGACCGATTCTGCCATGTATTCTTCCCGAAAGCATTGAACCTGATACATGCGATCGAAATGTTTCGAGAATGAAGGATTTCGTGCAAGTTTCTCGGGGGAGACCTTCATGATTCGTTGATACTGCTCATAGTGCCCCGGTTCTTGAGTGACGACACCCTTCAGCAGTGATGTTGGAATGGCATCAATCCCCTTGGTCAAGACGTCGTGGACCATTTCATCTGTTGGATGCAGCCCATACAAGCGAATTCGCTTTTGTTTGGCATATATCAGCAGAGGAGCATAGAGCAAACTGTCATATCCCCAGCTTGTTTCCCATTGGGTGTCCCGGTTGAGATGGTTGAGCTTGTAGGAAGGATCGTTAATGTATCTGTCAAGGAACCGTTGATGACGCCGATGGAAGCACTCTAATCCGACAGTCATGATGGGAGAATCTGTACCGGCATTGGTTTTCTTCTTTTCCAGCGCACCATGAAGTGATTTCAGCACCCGTAGCTGGACAAGATGATGCTCAAAATCATCGTGTCGCTCACTGATGCATACAATTCCCGAATTTCCTTGGCAAATTTGCGGTTGAAGATCATTGCTGGTGCTGCCTGATGTTCCAAACCACTCCTTATGGATGATCTTTTGCAACGTGGCAGGAACGGCAGGCAAGGCAACTTGCCTCGCAGCATGCCAAATGACACCTGGTTTCTGTGACGGCAAGATTGGTCGACTACTTAATGGAACAGAATCCGTGGTATCAGCAGCCGCTACAGAATTGGCACCAAGTACTACCGGCAGCGCTGCTTCTGAGAGTCTACGAAGCAAACTTCGTCGTGACAGGGGCTGCTGCGACCATCCGTGGCACCTACTTACTGCTAGTAGCACGCAAAACAAGAAAAAACCCATTGCCAGCGGAGACATCATTGTCGCCAATTCAATACTAATGGATCCATCAGTGGTGATGGCATTGTCGTTCTGCAGCGATTGGTGAGTGGTGTACTACCGTAGCGGGCACCTGCATCACATGCCTGAAATTCTGTGAAAGCGTTCTGCCTTGCTTTTGACGCGCCGTGACGGTGCTCATCACGTGGGGCGTGTTCTGAGCATGGGAAGGAGAAGCTTGTAATTCTCTCTGCCACCAAGTGCACATACAGCTCTAAAGGCTTCGACTCAGATCAAATAAAACACGATTGAAATGTGGTCACGAGTGACGAGTCCTGGATTCGCATTCGGCAGAACTGTGTTTTTTGAGAACTCCAAAATCAACAATCCGAACAATCCGAACCAGCAAGAATGGGAACACATCTAGCTCTAGAGTTCGCATCCCCCCCAGCATCAAACCATCGTGCAGTCGGCTCCTGTGCTCTCACAATCTTCTCAAAGCAACAAAGCAAACAAGCAATCACCAAAACAAGCAATCCCTTCAGTTTTATCAACTAAAACAATCCACCATGAACTGCCTTCGCCCTGCCATCCAACGTGCCACCCTTTCCGCCATGCGACGAGGAAAGTCCACCATGGCCCCCTCTCAAGGAGTCCACAACCTTTCCCCTCAGAGCGCTGTCCCACCCCATCTTCGCAAGAACATGGACAAGGGTTTCAAGGAAAACTTTCTCAGTGATCCATCCACCTACCCCATCATTGTGATTATGGGCTGCGCCATGACTTTCATGACTGGCATGGGAATTCATGCATTGGCATACTACAAGGATGTGCGAATTAACCCCTCAAAGAAGCACACAGAATTGCAAACATGGGGAAGTGAAAAGGTCACTCCCATTGTGGCTGTGGTTGGTAAGAGGAACCCTTATTATGCCGTTGCATTCCATGAAGGACTTGGAGTGAACCACGAGGAATGGTTGAAGCAGAAGGCTGAAGCTGATCGTGCCCAACGTTGAGACTTGCACCCAATGAAGGAACGAAAGAGTCAAGTCTCGAGTACTACGTACTGCGGCCACAATTTACCTGAATGTTCAGCACAACAGCCGACTGCATGCATATGATACAAGAAAGTTCAAAGAAATAATAACAATCTATAGGAAGAATCAAAAAGAAAGCTTGCTTTGTCCATTTGAACCGTAGGCAACACTTTTCAACTAGCTTCAGCTCTGCAGAACTTCGCCGCAGGTTGCTGGCCTTCCCTGCAAACTCTGCGCACCCATATTAGCTCCTTGAAATGCACGTGTCGCTCCGAAACCTTTCGAAAAAATCTCATGTTGGCCCCTGTTCAAGCCACTTTGCATGGACGTGTTGCCCTCTGTCCATAGCGGCTGCGATTGTTTCTTTGCCTGCTTCACCGCCTCAACGTCATTCATTGGTTGCGGTGATGGTGGTAATGAGATCGCCCAATATCCGGCAAATCAGCTCCAAATCCTCTGGAGTGGACAATCTGTGATCACCCGATTTGATTAGAGTAACCTGCACATCTTTGGATGCAATTGCTTCTGCCAGCAGTAACGATTTCTTCCACGAAACATCTACATCTTGTTGCCCATGAACCAACCGTACAGGGCACGAAACGTTGATCACAGAGCTCGTTGACTGCGCAGATGTTGCCTTGCCACTTTTGTCGTCGTTGTGCGCAGTGTGGTTGCAAGAACCATTATTCGTGGCAGTAGCGCCTTCTGTGTTTTGGTCTTCTTGTGAATGTGACAACAACAGCCACTTGGATCCATCTTGAAGCAAATGTTGACTGATGGGATAGGGAGTGGTGGAATACTGGGATGGCATCAATAGTCGACCCCGGTCTCTTAGCTCTTGCAGTTGTGCCTCTGTCAATCCCTCCCAGATATCCCGTGTAAAGTCTGGCGCGGCCCCAATGCCCAGTATTCCTGCCACTTTGTCGGGTTCCAGCAATGCCAAATGAAGGGCAATCCAAGCTCCCATCGACGACCCAACTAGCACTTGTGGTCCGCTCTGTTCTGCGACACAATGATGAAGCATGGCACGAGCATCTTGAATCCAGTCGGTCATTCCAAGAGATGCGAAATAATCAGCATTGCTGTTTGTTAATAACTCCTCCTCAGTATGCCCTCGATAATCAAGTCTGGTGAAACCAATACTGTAGTATGAGTCCTTTGATGAGTGTTGTTCTTGTTGCCTACAGTATTGTTCCAACGTGCAAGCCTTGTTGCCGTTCATGGAGGATCGAAATCCGTTCAAAAACAAGACACCTGCCAATGCCTTGTGGGTGGGACCTGCTGGAGGGGATGAATGGTAGGGAATTTGAATCACTGTGGTGCCACCGTTGGCTGGTGGGAGTGTCAGAAACTGGGGCTTCTTTTGGTAAATGTCATCGTTGCGACTTGCACTCATTCCGGTTCTTGAAGATGTGGCAAGAGCCGAGCAGCCGTTGATTGAAGAAAGTAGTTGGAGTGAGAAGGAGAATAGGTACATCTCACAATGTACAATGATCTAGCGTATCTGAGATGAGCATGGGACATGGGAAGCATGATTGCTTCTCCGGAAAAATACAGGGGAGAGTAGATCGGAATAGATCCAAAACAAAATAAACCAGGCGAGCTGCTGTAATTAAGATATGTCCTTTCTTTGACTGCGTCTGGGGGGTTGAACAAAAGGATCCCTTCGAAGCTCGAAGTGGCCATGACATTGATTTTGTTGTTGGATAGACATACATGCTTCAGTGGTAGATAGATCATAATATCTTTGTGTGCGTAGTTGTTGGAAGACGAATTGATGCACTCTCCAATGAAGGTGTAACTTCCTTCTTTGTGAACAAGCTTGGCGAGATCTATTTCATGATGAATGATCTACCTAGAACGAATCGTTCCCTTTTGCGATCGCGAAACTACAGTCGTACTAGTTGACTGAAGAGAGAGAAAACAACGGGATAAGATCTTTACATTTTATTTTTGTATACCTACGTACCAGCTCGGAGGATAGGTCTCCTCTTTTGTGCTCGGAGGAACAAGTACTAATAGTTTGGCTCAATAATGATGTGGTAAATGCTCACATGAGGGAATCCGGGTTCCACATAACTAAAGATATTTCCATCCCAATTTTGATTTGCTGCTCAGGTGTTGCTGTTCTTTGTTTGACAGTTAGTTGTTGTTGCTGCGTTTTTATGATTGATATATTTTTATTCCTCTTGATATTCGGCACCCGCTCCTTCTGCCACGACCTCCTTGAGCGCTACTTTGATTTCATTGACATCGTCTCCTCGAAGCGTAGATTTGACGAATTTGCATTCGACTCTCATATTGAGCATTTCGAGCGCTCCACGAATGAGTCCACAGTAGAGTGAATTGTATTCCAATAACGGTTGTCCTTCCCCTGCCGGTGATTGATACTGATCTGGCAATTCCACAAAAATAGCCAACGGATTGTCCGTCATGATGAGACTGTAGGAATCTTCCTTGCCTTCCGTGCCTTCGTGAATGACCACGTCGGCGGTAATGCCCAAGAACATTTTAAAGGCACTCTTGGCCAATACTTCGGCGGTATCCAAAAACTTGGAACACGGCGGCGCCGCCGTACTGAGTTTGGCCAGATACTCGTCGACACAACGAACTCCCATGGAATGACCCATCTTGTCCAATTGTTCATTGACGGCGTTAATGTCGTCTCCAAAATCACGCAAGACTTCCGTCACCAATGCCCCGTACGTCAACGCAAACAGTTCGGCGTTGGCTTTGGGGACGCGATTCCACAACGCACTGCCAGTAGCAATGGCGGCGCCCTTGTTGCTGCCTCCTGCAACCGCAGATGTAGACGATGCTGCTGCTGATGCCATGGTGGTATAGTACTATATATTATACTGATGATCAATAGATAAGATAATGAAAGCAAACAGGAGACTGCTGTAGTAGAACTGGACAGGAAGAGGGATGTTGGCAACAGCGGATCCGAGCCTCGACGAAACGGCTGTTGCCAAGGCGAACAAAGATACTGCATTAGAATTAGGGTTAAGCAATACCTAGGGTTAGGACTCAAGGAGCTAAAATTTTCGCATGCAACGTCATGTTCATTAAGGTTGAAGCTAGCCGTGGAAGGATATGAGCTCGTGGCGGTTAGCACAGACGGAGACAAGGTGCGTACTCAGCTTTCACACAGGAAGACAACTGACAACGGCGAACTGCCAATCAACACGAGGCATTCTGATGTCAAACCTTCAACCTTCATTCATTGCATTCCTTCCCACCCAAGTTCTCAACTCCATTCAACTTGTCTTCCGATAGTATTCACCAGCGCACCAAGAAGATATTATATACCCAACTAGCTAGCAGCTAGCTAGAGCCACACAATATACGTTATCTATCCATCTGGTTGGCTTTCCTCAATCAGAGAGACTCCACGCAAGATTAGCTAGAATTCGTTTGTTTCGTTGTCGGAACATCGGAACTTCTTCTTGAGAGACCATCCAAGCTACCCAACTTTCAGTGCCTTGCCTTTGTCTTTTGCCACCGCCATGACGAGAAGAAATAGGAGCTGGCCCGCAGCGGCTGCTTTGCTGATTATCATTGGAACTGTTTCCAAACCTTCCAATGCCTTTACTACGTCAATCCACACCCGCCTGTCGTCCCACACGTCGTCTTCCATGGCATTATCTGTGGCCATGTCACCACCCGTGCAGGCGGACAATAGTAGTACCAGCGGTGGCGATAACAACAACAATAATGATAATCAACCGGAGTACAAGGACTTGAGAGAAGCCAATAAAGCACTGGATGCCTTGGCCATGAAATGCGGGAATCCCACGTCGGAACCCATCATTTCCAGAGCCGACGAATGTCAATCCCAATGGGAAAACATGAGAGGATCCTCGATTGAACCCGACACGGTCAGTTTCAATACGGTCCTCAAGGCATGGGGTCGTTGTTGTCATTCCTTGGCCGAAATCAAGCGCAATAGTGCAAATGGAGGAGATGATACCGCCGTTTCCTTTACCGCTGATGACGGTGGTGTCCACAATGATCATCCACAAGTCTACACGGCCAAGGATGCCGCCGAACGAGCCACGTTATTGTTGCTCAGTCAAGAACAGGAATACGAAAATGGATCCGTACCAGAATCGGCACGACCCGATACATATTCCTATAATGAAGCCATCGGTACGTAGTAGGAATAATAACAAGGTATTGCGTGGGAGGAATGAGGGGGTGGTACAGTGCAGACTATACCAGAAGGAAGAATCGGAGGCGATTGGCATGTTTGTTTGTTTGTTGTGTTTTGTTGCCACCTGTCTGTCTGTTCTTATAATAAACCTTTTTGTATTTTCTTGCAGGTGCCTGGGCCAAGAGTGGTGTCGCCGAAGCACCGCAAAATGCCGAACGGTTGTTGAAACGAATGCTGGACCACGAGTACATTCGACCGGATGGGATCTCGTACAATTCCGTGGTCGATGCGTGGGCATATTCCGGCAGAAAAGAATCCATTCACAAGGTGAAACAAATTTGGCAACACATGGAACAGCTCTATGCGGATGATCAGCACGACGACGACGACAATGATGATGATACTGTCAATGATGAGGAAAACAACAACGACGTCATTATCAAACCAACCATTCGAACCGTCAATTCCATCATTCAAGCTCATGGCAAACGAGTTCAACAGCTGGTCGAAGAAAAAAATTACGACGAAGCTCGCAAGACGGCACGCGATGCCGAAGAATACCTCACGCTCATGAAAGAACGATACGAGCAAACACAGGATCCCGATCATATGCCCGATGTCATGACATACACCGCAGCTATGGATACCTACGGACGATGTGGACACTACACTTCCACCATGAGAGCCAGAGCCTTGTTGGAAGAACTCAAGGATCTATACGAAGAGTCGGGAAATCCCAAACTCAAACCCGGTGTTCGCACCTACACGTCTCTTATTACGGCATGGTCCAAGACACGGTCACCGGATTCCACGCGGTATGCCGAACAGTTGTTGGAAGAAATGAACAACAGTGGCGATACGGATCTGTATCCCAATGCACGCACGTACACGGCTGTCATTCAAGCCTGGGGACGATCGCCCGACCACAACAAGGCAGCACGTTCACTCAAGTTGTTGCAAGCACTCAAAGAACGGCACAATGCTGCCACCAGTCCCAGTAGGAAACAGGCACTCAAACCAACATTGTCCACCTATAACAACGCTCTGGAGGCGTGTGCTCGTTGTCAAGGCGATTTGGCACAACAAACAGCTGCCTTGAAAATCGCCTTTGCGATTCTCAAGGCTGTCAATCAAAAGGAATCGGGACTGCAGGCCAATGCCGTCACCTACGCGACCGTCTTGAGGGCATGCTCCTTTCTGTTGGGGCCGGGCGCAGAACGCAATACTGTGGCAACGGCGGTCTTTGAAAAGGCCAAAAAGGCGGGCATGGCAGACTTTCGGGTCTTGTTTCAGTTACGAAAAACGGTGGACTCCAAACAGTTGGCGGAATTGTTGGATGGGCTCCCCCAGGATCGAAACGGTATCTTTGATTTCAACAAGGCACCGCCTGGTTGGTCACGTAATGTGCGGTAAATATTGGTAGAAGCCAAACAAGCAGAAAGAAGATGTTGAAAATGCGTGCAACAGGCTGCTATCAAATACCAACTGACTGTATGGAGCTACATCTATCTATCTATCTGCTTGGAAGAATTGAATTGTACAGGGAAACCACGGGGTACCGCATTGCCACAACAACCAACTCAACACTACCCACGAATTTCGCTTACTACCGTACCCTCATGCCAGGAGGCGCATACGAGTCTCCTTTTACATATTAGCAATAATTGAGAGTTTTCCATTGACAGCTTCGTAATTTTTAGGTAGAGACGATGTATTCCACCAAGATATTAACTCAAGACGCTCATTTTAGAATACACATGTGGTCGTGCTCCTCATTTTAGCTTGTGGCAACTTAAACTTGCCTGTGGGCCCTTTGTCACGTGATGTCGCCGCAGGGAAAGTTAGAATTCGTGCCCTCGGCACACCAACAGGTGGGTCGTCCTCAAGCACTTCTTGTCTGAATCCTACACGTTCAGTCTTTTTTCATCGGCACACCAACAGGTGATGGATGCCAAAAGGAGCAATTGCCCCCAAAATGTATTGCTTCATTAAAGCCTCGTGACACGGTATTGTTCTTACTAAAATTTGGCTAGGATCAAGCTATTCAACTAAAACACAGTTGTACACACAACCGCCAGCACAAGCTGGCACATCGTTTTCTTTAGAATGCTCCAGCTTGAGCAAGCTCCAGGTCCCCAGTAGCCATGACATCATAGACACACTGGTCCTTTAGGTCTCCCCAATGTCCACACACCTTCTCCGCAGATGCTTCGGCAATGGATTCACCAAGGCGACGACGCCCTACGTTGCTGGTGCTTGGCATTGTGCACTGCACTGGATGCTGGGGAAACTGGTTTGTCTGGAAGAGCTTGGGCTCAACCTCGAGAACTTGCCATTCGTTCCCAAAGGCAATGGCATCTGACATGACTGTTCCATTACGAGAAAGCCACTTGCCAGAACCAAACTCTCCCAAGAGCCCCATGCTGCCTCCGTACTCCTCCAAGCTGGCACCCACAGTCTTGACACTAACAAGATCCTTGAAGGATTGCACCACTATCTGCTTTCCAGCTCCCAGCTCAATAGTGAACACATCCTGTTTTGAGTTGATTTTCTCATGGGTGACAGTGTATTTGTCAAGCTTCTCCAGATCAGCATTGGAGATGCCATTTACTAAGTATCCACCATATTCACCCACCTCCAAAATGTCCTCTCCAATGCGGACAGCAGCAGACTCAATGAAAGAGTACTGGTAGCGGGCCTTTGTTCGGATATGGATATCCAATCCAGTTCCATGTGCAAACGATGGGTTGCTGAGGAAGACCAAGTCACACGCTCCATGAAAATCATACCACTTGCCAGCCCAGGTCTTGAAGTGAGGGTCACCAGTACCAGCTCCATCATCACAAGGTGTGAGAATCACAGCCCATTGTTGGAGTTGTATATATCCCCGTGATGGATTGAAGGACAGGGTCCAAGAGCCTTGGGAAGAATGGCCATTGAATAAAGAAAGGTCTCCGTCGGGCTTAACATCTGATCCATCACTCACACATGTGTTGGAGTTGACGGCAAGGGTGTTGCTGCTGGAATCATCAAAACGAGCGTGAACCGGTCCAAAGAGCCCACAAGAATGGTTTCTTGCGAGGCCTGTGGTTACTGGACTATCAGCATCGAACGTGATACCAACGTCCAAGTCTCCTGGGCTGCTATAGCCATGAGAGAAGCTCACTTCAATGTCAACATCGCAAATGACAAAGTCATCATCGACCGTAATGCTGTGGCCAGGGACCAAGGAATGGATTCCCAATTCGAGAACTCCTGATTCGTATCGAGTCGCGAAAACATGAGTCAGGCTACCAACCAGGCAAAATCCAATCCAACAGATCTTCTCAGAGAACATCATGTAATGCTTAGCAGATCCAGAAAGCACGGAGAAATAATGAGAGGAGCACTTGGTGGCTTGGAGACAAGATGGTGGATGTGTTTTGATACTAGCTAGTATCTGGGCAGGGTCAACCATTCAATCCAACATCCAACAAAGTTACGACACAGCTGCAAGTTACCACTTACTCTTCGTGAGATGCACCGGAAGGTCAAAGGGCCAACTTGTTTAAGATGGAACGCAGGGGCATCAAAACAAGAGCGAAGTAGCTAGACTACTAGCTAGCTAGTAGCTAGCTCTAGTAGTCTAGCTAGTAGCCAGCTACTGAGAGTAGAGTGGACTTTGTGAGGTTGCAGGTTGCATGCAACCATTCAGTCAAACAAAGTTGGGCCCTTCGACAAGGTTCCGCTACTACTATTAATAGCATCTTCGCTACTGTACTTTTGTGAGATGCGCGGGAAGGTCCAAGGGCCATTTCCTTTAATCAGATGGGACGCAGGGCAACGAAACAAGAGCAACTTTTAAATCTTTGGAAGATTTAGTCATGCGGAGAGAAATAGAAGTGGGACAAGACCGGTACGAACCGGTACCGGTACGAACCGGTACGGTGGCCAAGCACCGTCAACTCTCGATCTCGTGTGGATTCTCATATTATGCATACAATGTCATGTACATGTAGCACTTTCAGTACACGACACCTTAACCTTAACAACATGGAGCAGATCTTAGTCATGAGGCACTAGTGACTGAGGGGTTAATTTCGTCTCCTGGAGACGATTTGCTTTAGGGGTAATGGTACCGATGGGGGCAGAGGTTTGAATTATACCCGGCGCGCATTACTTAGAAGGCCCTGTAGAAGTCTACGTATTCGACTAGTGGCTAGTATTGTATTGACGGGATACAGTCAACGCATGTACATGCACATGAAAGTCGCCTTGCGTTCTTCACATTTTAAAAGTTGGCTCCTAATTTTTCGGGGTCGCCTGTGATTTGATTGGACGCTTGATCTTTTTTCAATGACTGACATTGAATGACGTAGAGGTGCAATGCGAATCTCAGAAAGGTAGTTGTAGTAATAAAAGTTTTTATATAGATTAATTTACCCTATATCCCTACCGTTTATACTTATAACAAGAACCCGTTTCTCGCTGGAACATTTCATCGTATTGATCTTCTCCTAGGACAGAAAGCCCAATAGTATCCTTAAATCTTGCAAGCATGTCTCTCATTCGTTGTGGCATGGCAAAGTTTTTGGATCCCAATCCAGCTTCTTCAATAAGAACAAACCACTCATGGTTCGCACCCTTGATAACACCACGTAAGCCCAGTTTTGACAGTATCGCCATGAAGTACCAATAACCACACTGAGTATATCCCTGTAATTTGTGTCAGTTGTCGCAGAATTGCTGATAATCGGGAACTGCTTACCCTTCATCTTGGTGTGTACAACTTCTCCGCATAAAACCATCTGGTACTAAAGTGTAGTCTTGCTCCGTTACTAAAAAGTACGTGGCATAATAGTCTCCATTTCATGTTCCACAAGGATAGATTTGACTTGACCTGAGAAAAAAGCCCGAATCTTGCAGCCGTTGTCGAGTTGAATAATCATGGGGGTGCAACCATCCCTCACATTCACCTTTCTCACAAAAAGCCGAGATCCATTGGCTTCTCCATTCGAACATTCGTGTTCTCTGTAAACATTACGGACACCCCTTATATAACTCAAAGCAGGATCAACACGTTTTCGTGAGTCCGAACCGGGTTTTAACGAGTCTTCTCACCATGTTGAAAAGAGTGCTTTAAAACCGAATTGCTCTTAACAGAACCATGTCCCTGCTTGTATTGGCCATTTGAAGATCGTCCATGAAAATGAGTACTGCATCCATCAGCACGGAATCATCAGCAGGTTTGTTCTTCCCGCAAAAATCTTCGAAGATAGCTGAGTTAATGGCATCTCATCTCGATTCAGATAAGTAGCAACTTGAATTTTCTCTGGTGGAACATTGGTTGGGCCAACCACGCAGGGGTCATTGATGGTCTCAATAACTTCTTCTGTTGGTCGCCCTTCACGGAATCTTAAACAGCGTTGCCCCATTCAGATCGTCTTTGAAGCGGTGCATTCCATCTACATCAATAAATGAATTCAGAGAGTCATGAAAATCAGGAATGGTGTGCTGAAGATTGTAAATTGGGGGCGTCCCACTGGTTCAATGTGAGAGTAGTCCCCCGCGAACACCAAGTTAAGTCCCCCAAATGGTTGGTATTGTCTTGCATCAAGGTCTTGGTGTAGTGGAATATCTTCACTAAGTCAAGTTCCCCCGCGAATGAAATTTCGTCGATGATAAGCTCCGTGCGTCACTCCATTCTTCTACCAGTTCTTCGCCACACTTTCCCGAGTTTTGTTCAATCCCACAGCTGAATGCGTTGTTTCCCCATGCAGTATTGTAGCAGCAACCCCCGACATAGCAGTGACAACAATGGTTCGGTCGTTAAATGGATGATCAATCAAACCGCAGAATTCTTTGCCATAGGCCATGACTAAGTCAATTACGGTAGTCTTCCCACTTCCTCCAGGCCCATGTAGAAGAAGAATCAGTTGGGTGCCACGACTTCCTTCAAAATCAAAAGGTTTTTACGAGAAAGTCGGACTTTTGCCTTCAACCCCATATCCGGGACTCCATCCTCTAAGTCCACCTTTTCAGCTTCCTCATAAAATGTCAACAAGAAGGCTGCAATGATAACACTCGAAAGCCCTTCTCTTTTGTCGTCCAGATTGGCAGCCGTTGCCCAGTCACTTATACTTCTCACGCTTCCATTCGCCTGCGACACTTCAAACTGCGGATTGTACTTAAATACATTTGCCCTTTGGATGCACTCCCGTTGTTTAAGTAGAACTTCAATGATCTTGTGATATCGGGGTGTAGGCGGTTCACTTTGCTTCTCTTTGTAGTGCCAGTCGTGGAAAGTCAGCACTTATGGAACAAATTCGTCTTCATCAACGAATTCTCAGGAATGGGTAACTGCACGTTGTATCCTGCGTTGTCGCTTCCATTGTGACGTATAGCCGTAAAACAAGACATCAAATGTGCTTGCCAGAAAGTCCCGGTTTGAATCTGTTGTGGCCTGGCTCTCAAGATCACGTATCAATCTTCGTAAACCTTTTGAATCAGATCATTTTCCTCATGTTCTGGCTCATCATCAGATTCGTTTCGTACATGTTCTCCTCCAATTTCCGGTCTATAGGGCTTGTACTCGTTGAAGATCATCCTCTTTCACCTTATACCTCGGGTTGTTGAAGCGGTGTCTTGAATGTTCTGGATGAATGACAGGTTCCTTTCTGAGAAGACGACGGGTTCTTCGTTATTCGCTTTTCTCAGAACAATCGTATTCATACACTTCACGAAGTTTTCTTAGCGAAAGCATAGTTGGTCTGGGGTACGGACTTCTTTAAATCAGCCAAACATCGATGCGGCAAGTACAAAACCCAATAGCACTTCCGCATAAGTATCCATTGCCTGGTTCAGTTCGCCAGTAGGACACGTCAGGATATTCGCACCAAAACCGCCTGCATCTGAGAAGGCCCATTGTGGAACCCGAACCAATGCTTCTTCTTTCCTCAAAATACTCCCGCTGAAGTTTCACCAGTTAACACCCCGTCGTCTCCTTTGATCGCTGATGGATGCACGACACTGCCCAGTGTCAGCCATAAAAGGCCATTTCTCCTCATCAGTTCGCTGACGCTTCCGCCTGTGGACACTCTTCATTGGTCGTTCCTCGTAAAGCTCGTAAAACCGCTTCACTGACACATTCTCTAGATCTTTGTTTCGACACAGAAGTGGAGCGCCCTGGTTCTCAAGATAAGCCTGACCTGTGTGGTGAATATCGTATTCTGATGACACTTCTTGTTTGTTCAACAGCAAAATTACATCTTTGATCGGACAGTAGAGAAAGCGATGTGAAAAATAGAACCTTGATTTGTTCCGCCGTAATGAATGAGGCCAATGATGACCAATGATATTTGACTTGTTATGGGCAAAAACTGCACGGCAGATCCGACGAAGAGCCTCCTTGTCATCGTCTTCATACACTCTTCCGTTTAGGGACTTAATAGCACGCTCAACAGTAGCATAACTCGGCCGTGTCGTCTCTTTT